AGATGCCGAAGCTGCTTGTGTTCGCCAAATAATGTTAAAGAAGTCTAAAAAAATTCCTATATCCGTTATTATTGAGATCACGAAAATGGATGAGCTGTTCCTTGGTATGAGGCACACCTCTAGTAAAAATTTCATTGAAATCTGTTCATAACTTAACATAACCACAAAAAAACAAAAACAAAGATATTGGATTCAGGAAGAAGAAATATATATATATATATATATATATATATATATATATATATATATATATATATATATATATATATATATATATATATACATATATATGTATATATACATATATATGTATGTATATATATATATATATATATATATATATATATATATATATATATATATATATATATATATATATATATATATATATATATGTATATATGTATGTATATATATATATGTATATATGTATATGTGTATATATATATATATATATGTATAGGTGTATATATGTATGTGTATGTGTATATATGTATATATATGAGTGTGTATGTGTTTATATGTATATATATATACATATATATATATATATATATATATATATATATATATATGTATATATATATATATATAATACAGTATATATATATATATATATATATATATATATACATATATATGTATATATATATATATAATACAGTATATATATATATATATATATATTTCTTCTTCCTGAATCCAATATCTTTGTTTTTGTTTTTGTTTTATATATGTATATATGTATGTATATATATATGTATATGTATATATATATATATATATATATATATATATATATATATATATATATATATATATATATACATAAATATATATATATATATTTGTGTGCATGTGTTTATATGTATATATATGTGTATATATCTGTATATATATATATATGTGTATGTATATATGTATTTATATGTATATATATACATACGCATATGTATATATACTTATGTGGATATATATATATATATATATATATATATATATATATACAGTTTGTTTCATTATATAGCTTTTCAGTTTGTTTCATTATATATATAATTTAGATTCCTAATCTAAAGCAGTATCTTACCAAGTTTAGCTCCAAAATTTATGAGGTACTGATGTAATCTTACATGCGTACCTACCTAGAAGATAATACAATACAGAGTGCCTACTGTATGTAAATTCTCAGTCATCCAGGTCATGGAAACCACAAACAGGCTTAAACTTGAAGGCAAGTGGACATTTACTCAGTTTTTTGAAGACATTTCGACACCTACAGTATGCTGGAGTCTTCGTCAATTCTATTGGCTCATACCAGAGCAAACCCCTGTTGGAGCACTTTGTTTTTTGGGATTGTTGGAGCTTTTTGTTGTCCATTGGCAATGTGATTGTTCTTTTGAATCATAATAGACCGTCATTAGACAGGTTAGGTGTACCCTACTGATAATGTAATGTTGCAATCTCCATATAGTAGATTTTAAGAAAGAGTTCCCAAGAGTGGCCATGACTGAATTATAAATGCTTGGAAGCTGAAACTGCAATCTTCCCCTTCTGTTCAGTGATGGATATCTTGACTACAAAATTTAGTCAGAGTTTTGCCTGATTCTGAATTTCAGGCTCCAATGGTATTCTCTCTCAATTCCTTCATATGAGTGCCTTGAGTGCATATTGATGAGTGATGCAAGCCAAACAGATTGGTTTAGATACCAAAACCACATGAAGTAACTTATTAGCAAATTGTGCGAGTTTTAGAAACTACTTAAACGTTTCTATTTAAAATTCCTATATTCAATGTGAAAAGTAAAATTGATTCTAAAAAGGCAAGTATAGAAATATGGACCTCCTGCTTCAGAATTTGCTTTTTCTCTATATTTTTGGTACAAGAATTAAAATACTTGTCATGTTTTCATGTTGCATCTAATATTTATTTCTACATTGATCAGAGCTACATGTGTATACCAAGTTAATCTAAAGAAGTACATTTGAACTGAAAACAACCAACGAGATTCACATAACAAATAAGATTCTAAACACATGCACCTCCCCTGATGTCCCCTCATCCTCTGCTCTATCAAAAAATGAGATTGATTCCAGTACAGTTTCCCACTTGATCGGGAAGATGTGCTTCTTCTGACACACTACCCACTAAGCACTCACATGCAGACCCACTCCAACGAAATTCGACACACATACACACACAGAATCTAATAAACCAGTTCTATTGAGTACCAAGGAGGGTCAGTGGTAATAACGGCTTGCTCCTCTTGACTCTTTCCCTCTCTCAGTTCTTTCTTTTCCCTCCTCTCTAAATTCAATTCTCTTTTCAATGTGAAGACCTTTCCACCCTCTCCATCTCCCTTGCCTTGCTCACGCTCTCCCTTTGCTGGCTTTCTCTATCCTTCTTCCTTGCTATTCCCCTTTTCAGCATGTAGGGCTTTATTTTGGCAAAGGCTTTTTATTTGGTTTTAGTGGCTCTTGTCCCTCTGTTGTGCACTCAGGTTAATATGTTTTCCCACATCTGAGGATCCTCCACTTATTATTCATATCAACAGTCTGAAAGGAAAAAAAATGTTAGAATGGTTCGGCAGTAAACACTTTTGCAACCTTTTTCTTTTACATCATAGGCTTGAATGTAATTTGACTTATTTTCTTTCTTGAGTAATTTCTGCCAGGAAATGTGTTTCACACTAAATGAAGACGCATAGAAAATCTTAGATAGCTTTTAGACATTTCTTTGCTATAACATGACGGATTCAAATGGCTGAATTAACTTTTTAGCAGTTTACTGTGCGGGTGCATCCTAAACACATTCGAATCAGGTGTGGTGACCCAGTAAAAAAATCTGAAAACAATGTTAAGGACTTGCTTTAAACAACAATGAACTAAAACACCTTTTAAACATACCAATGTTGTCTAATAACATACTATATGCAATATAAGATGTTTTAAATAACCTTGCTGCTGCCTCAGTTGAAGGCATAAAAGAATACAGCACTCCACACAACAGGCCCGAACTAGAAAATGGTACGTTTTTTATTGAAGAGGCTGAAAGACCCAAGATTCGCCAATGTATTTACTTATTTTTTGCTGTTACTAAACTGACTGTTACGTTTTTAAGCAAAAATTTAGATGTGATTCCTGGTGTCAGTACAGTAGGTCTCTATGACCTCTGATTTTTTTACCCTTTTTTTTTGTCATGTTTATATTTAAGGTGTAAGCTGCCCCGTTACATTTTACAAACCACTATTTTAGTGGTACTCCACTGTGTCTGTCATAACCAAGAATATGATATTAAGAGTTTTAAATTGACTTATCTGGAAGTTGTGTCGGACTTCTGAGATTTATAGGTGAAAAGCATGCAAACACAAATACCTCTTAAGTATTTTCTTTTCTACAGGCTTTTCTTTATGCATCTCAGACCTGTTTAAACACTGCTAGGAATTCAGAAAACATTAGGGTTTTTTGATTTAGCAGGGATGGTAAATCTTAATATTTATGGCTAGTGGCTTGGTATTCATTCATCCATTGTCTTCTACTCATCCAATAATGGTCCTAAGGGTAAAATAGCTTCCTTTCAGAAATTAAGCTCATGCCCAGTCCAGCTTCTCTGGGCCAAGGCAACCTCTGCCTGAGTCACCTGGGTCTCATGGTTTGGGTTGGCTGCAGCATTGTCTTTTTTTTTTTTTTTTCTTTCATGCTGATGTTTTATGCGTTTCTCCTTTTTTAAGATGAACAAGAGAGCAATTAATGCTTCATATAGATTGTATCCATCAACAGTAACACAATGAAACATTGCTGCATGTCAAACTATGCTAAATTAAATTAGCAATAAGTACTAATTACACCTAGCGTTTCAAATTGGAACAACACGCAGAACAGAAAGCGACCGACCGTTCTCCTCCTCCTATTCGGAGACTGTGATGCAGGTTAATATTGTTACCAAGTCCACGTTTATTTCAAAAACAAGAAAAGAAATTTTAGAAATATACCTCCTTCCCTCGCTTCTGCTTGTCTGATGTGTGGGTTAGATTTAAACTGTCAAAATTTTTTCCTGTCTTCCATATTGGGTTATTTTGTTTTTCAGGTGTACTTTTGTATTTTTTCGCTGTAGTGAGCAATGCTTTGTCTCTTAAATCCTTGTTGTAGAACAGGTCTGTTAAAAGTTGAGAATGCTCTCATGAGCTCCATGGAGCACTTGTTTTTGTGGTCCCTAACTGCTATCTGGTGGCTGGTGATGGTCCACATTTCAGACAGGTCAGCTAGTTGAAGTAGAGCTATTTACCTGACGGCTACATCGTTACACTCTCACCATGTTTTGCATTTTCTTTGAGCCGCTTCAGAATTTTTTTCTGGTGTGGAGTATTCATCACCAGGCTAATCCTTCGTGACTGTATGGATGAAACTGAGTTTGGTGTTCATCCTCTCAGTGTCACTGAAGTGGTCAGGTGTATGGTGTTGGGGGATGCAGTGAGAACAGCCAGTTATCTATTGAAAAGCTGAATCACTCCTGAACATTGAGTCTGCAGTGTATCGCTCTTTGTCTTTTTTGTATTATATGGAAGAAGATGCTGCAGCTTTAGTTCAGTTAAATAGCCATAGACGTGATCATGTCCTCTCCTTGAGTTTTTGCTTAAAGCTATCCATGATAAAATATATAACTCAAAATGGGTGGTTTTATTAGCCGTTGCAACTTCCCTAAAGAAAGAGGATATTATTGCAGATGAGAAGGTAAGCCTCCAGACAGCCTCAAAGTGAATCCTGCAACTTCAGGGTGTATCTCTATTTAAAAATACCTGACATCAATATAATGTAAGTCATTAGCAGAGATCTGCATAGGTCGACTACCGGCTAATTAAGAAATTTAGCTATTTATTTAGTTCAGGTCTGTTGGGGCAGGGACACGTCTAAATCTTTGAGTTTGAGATGACTTCTCTAATATTTCTTTGTTTATTGCATGTGATACTCATTCCCATTCTCTCTTTGTTTCTGCTGCCATCTAGATGTTCCAATGGGTACTACGGCCAACCTAACGTACCAGGAGAATCCTGCCAACCCTGCAATTGCAATGGCAATCTGGACCTTTCTGTACCAGACAGCTGTGATCCGATCACAGGTCAATGTTTGAGGTGTCGCCAGGGTTACGAAGGCTTGACTTGTGACACCTGCAGTGATGGTTACTATGGAGACGCCATCACTTTAAAGAACTGTCAACGTAAGTTGTGGACTATGATACTAATTATACTATCAAGTAATAAAATTAAACAAATAATTAAAAAAATTAAGCATTTAAAAAAACAGGGCCAATTCAGATAAAATTTTCAAAGTTCTTTTTAAAGGCTTCCCAACTTAGCCTAAAAAAACATCTAATACTACATCTACTCCTGGATTAAGAGTGTGGTAAAGCTGGGATTGGTTCACACAAGGAACAATTAAAAAACAAATATGCTCTTTAAAGTCTTGAGGAGAGAAATTAACTGATTATAGAATTATACTGGATTAAGAAATGTGTGTCATGATAATGAGGCGTGGCAAAATTCCATTTTCAATCAGTTTCACAATGAACCATTAAACAATTACACCAACAGAATACTTTGAATTGAAAAATGACTAAGGAGATTTTTAGCTTCCTGTTTTAACGAACATACATTTTTTGTCTTTGAATTTAACTGAATGAAATTGACAGCATCGCTGACATATTCAACTACAGCACATTTGCAATAGGTGGCAGTATGCATCTGTTATTTATTTGCAACCAAGAGGGAGGCCTTGTTAGTCCTTGAATCCAGTATGTGTGGTAAATCCAGAGAATAGGGCACACGTTGGACGGCGGACAGGTAGACAAGCGTTGGACCCGGAGGAGTAATGGAGCGGACTGTCACTTTAATTTATGATGGGTACTTAAACGGAACATGTGGAGGTTTTCCCCTGCTCAGTGTAACTCGGTTTTTCCTTCCAGGGGTGAGAAGGTTCAGGAATCCAGTAACGGAAAGTTTCCTGCCGGGGAGCAAAAAAAAAAAAAAAAAACTCATTAGACTCAGAGAAACAAAGCTAGGTTGGACTCAGCTAAACTCAGCTTGGCTAGAGTATCCAAAACTCTGGCGTCGAGTGAGTGACAGCCCACTGCTCAAATACTCCTCCAGATAATGATCCAATGAGCCGCAGGGAGGGACAGCGAAGACAGGGCACCTCCTGGTGGTGAAAAAAGAAAAAAAGCACAAACAGGCCACACAAACTGCATCCCTAACAACTCAGTCACACTCTGAAATTATATAGATATGTATTAACGTTTTTTTGTTTTACCGACACACGAAAACTATGTTAAAACCATCCATCCATTTTCCATCATGCTTATCCCTGCTGGGGTTGCGAGGGGTCCATCTCCAGCAGTCAATGGGCAGGAGGCGGGGTAAACCCTGGACAGGACGTCAGTCGATCACAGCGCAACACAAGGACAAACAAGACAAACAACCATTCACACACACACTCACCTAAGGAGAATTTAGTAAAGCGCATTAACCTAACAATCATGTTTTTAGACTGTAGGAGAAAGCCAAAGAACCTGGAGAGAACCCACTCATGCACAGTGAGAACATGCAAACTCCATGCAGCAAGACCTCGGGCTGGGAATCAAACCCACAATCTTCTTGTGCTCCCCATTGTCGCACTGTGCAGCCCATATTAAAACCACTTATACAGTATATATTAGATTCCTTGTGTAGGGCATTTGATGCCAGATAAATTCTTTTTTCTCCTATTGTCACTCTATTTTTGTACATAATTAATAATCATTTTTATAATTGTCTTCAAAAAATTTATTGCATTTATTTCAACATCATGCCTTCCTATTGCTCCTAAAAATATATTGGAGTTGTTGTTTTCTTGAATTATTAAAAAGAAAAAAACAAATTTGTGACCAAATTTCCAGATTTTAAACCTCAGCCAAATAGGATTTATGAGTTGATGTAACATACTGACTGAGCAGTTTGTTTGATGACTTTAAATCCAATCCAAAGAACCATTGTAATGCACTTTTTATCAGAAAGAACTAATAATATAATAGTAAATAATAAGAAAGATACTCTTCTTCAAGACAGAAGATAAAGTTGGCTTCTCACATTTTCTTTCTTTTTTTTTGCTGTTTTTTAAAGGGTGACAGCAGGGTAGCTTTTGTTTCCCAGCAGGGGTGTTGCACTAAAGACCACTTTGTCCTTATGAAACTTAGCTGAAATTATTTAAATGATACCTTTAATAGTCTCGCTAAAACATTGAGTAGATGGCACACCATCTGGAGTGTCGATGTGAGTGTGTCAAGTAGCAGCTGTGCCAGTAGGAGGTGTGATGTCTGAGCGGCCCACTGACTGCCAGCTGTGCTTAAAAGTGAGAATAAAAAACTATACCTGCGAAAAAGAAATAAATAACAGAGCAGTATGAGCAGCGAGGCAGAGAAAGAATAAACATATGGCACTTCTTCATGAAACACTTCATTAAAGCTTGTTCTGTCGACAAAAGCAGAGGCACAGATAGGGAGACAGAAACCTCCCACAGAGCATCAGACAGGCTAAAAAAGTGTGTCAGGAGTGCACAAAAGCAGCGAGACAGGCTGACAAAGGGTATTAATGTGCATTTGATAGTTCATTGTTCTGTAGTTGTTTCCCCTCTCCACCCATCTAAATGGGTATTGATTAATCAGGCTGATCTATTGCTCTGCTGCAGTACTGATCAGCGGCTTGCGTCTTTGAGACGAAGAGGTTGTTATTGATCCTGTACAAATGACAGAAGACCACCAAGAATTATTAAAAGACAACAACTCTCAATCTGCCTGTCTCTACCCGTCAGTCCCACTCTTAATGAATTTTATTGATTAGAAGAGAAGAGATCAGGCTGAGTCCATTTGTGCGCTATTAGAATGAAAAAAAAACTTTTCATTCTTTGTACATTAGTGTTCTCCCCTTTAGGCATTTTTTCTCTCTTTCTGCAATGCAGGCCGATAATGTCTCAGTATATTTCTTTTTCAAAAAGTTAAATAATGCTTGATATTCTGGAGCTAATCTAAACACCAAGCAGTATGTCTGGTGGGTAAATTATAAGGATATAACAGCCTAAAGTATTTAACAAAAAAAAAAATAAAATCATTTGAAAATTGTTGTGCATTGCTCTGTGATATGGTTCCCCATCCCTTAGAAGCTGATTTATCTGTAGGAACTTAATAATTTACATATAATTTGTTTGGCTCAAAGTTTTTTAAAAATGCTTTCAATGTTAAAACAGTTTCATTTAGACAACATCCGTCTAGTTTCACCAGAGGAGGTTTTGCATTCCTACTGAAAATGATTATGCTGAACCAAGACAATCTATTAAACAGTCAAAATATAGGATGTTGATTTATATTATAATTGATAGTGAAAATTTAATGATTTTAGATGCAAGAAATATTTCCATAATGTTTGCATCCATCTTAAGCATTAGCACTGTTCATCTCTTAACATATGTGTCAAACTGAAGGCCCAATATATAACACTTTTCCAAGGACTTGAAGGTTTGACCAAAGTGCTTTACGCTACATTCAGTCATTCACCCATTCATGCACATGATGATGGTGGCAAGCTACATTATAGCCACAGCTACCCTGGAGCTCACTGACAAGAAGCAAGGCTGCTGTAAACTAGAGCCACCATTCCCTCCTAACACCATCAGTAATGTAAAGGCACATCATGTCATAAGAAAAGGCATATGTTCTTTTAAAGTGCATGAAGTGGCTTAAACTGCAAATCAAATTGAAGATATGATACCATAACAATGTGCTCTTTGTAAATAAGTTCATGAAATAAAAAGATAAATTTACAGCTTATTAGCCATTTTAAAGACTTGGTATTGCTGAAATGGCCTGATATAGAAATTAGTTTAACACCACTGCTGCAGTTAGGTTACACATACACTTTATACTAATATGATCCCTCATTATTTACAGGATTAAAACTTTAGGATCATATTACCATCTTAAAACATAACGAGAATAATTAAGACTGTTCTCCAACTTGATGGCTTAAGAAAAGATTTTTAATAAGTTGACTCATGTTAAGGGATTCTATGCTATCATTATGGAAAATTAAGTTTTAATATTTTTCAATATATGTAAGGTGTCATGTTCAAAAATAGTATGGGGTATTACATAATCCTACAATTTTATACATGCAAGAATGGCTTAGGCTCGGAAAAATGACAAAAACACAAGATGTAAAACCCAATTTACTTATACAATAATATCTGCCTGTACATCATTGAATACCAGTTGTCATTCACTATCTTATATGAGATAAAAATCTAATTAGTAAAGTTTATGTCAAAAACTGGAGAAAGTTATAAAGTGTGCAAAAATGTTTGAAGGCAAATAATTCAAACTTGTTAAATAGTAAAGCAAAATAAATATTACAAATTATTCAAAAACAATATACCGGTAATAATATTGGAAATATGATATTAAAAACTACCTTGAGAAATGGGAAGATGTGTAAAACCAAAAGAAAAAGAATTTTCAATGCAGCATATTCAATGTCAACATAATTCTAGGATACACATGCTTTTTGTAAACATGTAAAAATGTCAACCCATCAGCTACACAGCTCACAAACACCATGTTTGCCACATATCTTCATCACTGCTACTAATCGGCTACAAATCTAATCTAGTCTTGCAACTGTGACATCCTGATATAACAATCTCAAACTACTGTACAACTAGAGATTCCTTAATCAGATATGGCACGTATGTTTTTTACATTTGATAAAAAATAACTGTTTGTTCTACAGTCTGAATAATTTATCTAAAAATGATCTTTAGGGACTCATAAGGCATTCAAATTCAATTTAGACACATCTGGTTGATCCATCCACCAATCATGCTTATCCCTGCCGGGGTCACTGGTGCCTTTCTCTAGTCGTCAATGGGGTGAGAGGCGGGGTACACCCTTGACACGCTGCCAGTCTATCTCAGGGCAACACAGAAACAAACAACCATTCACGCACACACTCACACCTAAGGAGAATTTAGAGAAGGCAATATACAGTACCTAACAGTCATGTTTTTGGACTGTGGGAAGCCGGATTACCCGAAGAGAACCCACACATGCACAGGGAAAGACCCCAGGCCAGAATTCAAACCCAGAACCTTCTTGCAAGGCAGTATTCCTGCCCACTGCTACCACTGTGCAACCCCACATTTGGTTTATCCTTTATGTTTAAATTAATATTTACAAAAAGGTGGTAACATCACATCAGAGCTTATATTGTGCATCCTGACACAGCTGAACATTGATATTACCAAGTCATTGAATACTCATGCTTTCTGGAGAGCAACAGTACATCAGAAGTACACCGTGACTTTAATGATATGAGAACAGATGCTTCTTCAAATTTGATTAATTTTCCTTGGATTTGGACTATTTTAACTGAAGTTTATATAAACTTATTTTCAAAAACTGATATCACAGGTATAGGAAATAGTGCTACCACAAACTAAGAGTGGAGAACTGACAAGACTGCATCTGAACTGAGAGTGGTTGTGTGGGTCAGGAAGAATATAGTAAGATTGACTTTATTAAAGATGATTATATTTAATTGATTGCAAGCATTAGGGGAATTCCATGTTTTTTTAATCATGTTGCATAACGTCCACTTCCTCATCTGTTAAGTTAACCCCTAGAACCTTACGGACCCACCGGTGGGTCCAGCTGCTACGTGACCTCGTAATTTTAACAAACCCCCAGTATTGATGTAAAAAACACATTTGGCACAGTTTGGTGACATTTATGGATAAATGTGCCAAAATGGCCTCTCTCCGCCTAAGAAATTTCTCACTAATACCATTCTAAAATATATATGATTCATCTGATTGATACCAAACTTGGTATATTTTTACACAACATTTAGATTTAAAAGTCTGTACTACTTTTTTGTGCTATAAATAATATTTTGGTAGTGTTTTGCAATGTTTATTTCAAAGAAAATTTTGGCGAGGTTCAAAAAATGCAAAATATTTTGTATTTTGTCCCTAATATTTCAGGCAGGGTCAAACCTACAATGGTGCTGACACCAGAAAACCATTCTATGGCATCTTACCTTTACAGACGTACCAAAAGTTTCTTCTTAAATCTAATAGCTGTGAGGCTATAAGTTATTTACTTTTGTGTGTTTTTGTCAGGCAGAAATTTATTTATACCCCCTTAGGGTGTAAGAGGTTAATAATTGTAGAATTTTGTTGCAGAGTACCCAGACACATTTCCACCTAGTCTTACTTATAAAGTCTAATTATGATACCCTGCATGACTTCATGTTTTTTTTGCTAGCTTTGAGCTTAAATCCCAGTTGATGAAAACTCACACCTACATATGCCAATCAACCCCTCAGACACACAATTAAAAGCTTCAACATCATAGCTCCCATCTGCTGCAAAAAGCTATTAGAAGCATAGATGAGCACACACAAACACACACACTCCTAAGAACATTATGCATACACTCTGTAATAACATTAGTGCCACACGCCATATCACACAACAAGGACACACATGAGTACTAGTCTGTTTTGCCTCCTGCTGTTGCTTCAACTTGAATTAAGAGCAAGCAGAAGGACAGATGTGATTGTAGGTTACGAAAGAAAGCAGTTAGCTCACCACAGATGTCCACAACAATACATTCTGATAATCTGAAATATGCAGGGACACTAATACAGCCTGCCGAAGGGCATGCATACTCCGATTCACCACTGCTTTGCACCCACATTTGGGGATGTATAAACACAAATATATTAAAACTAGTGCTGTCAATCGATTAAATTTTTTAATCGCGATTAATCGCATCAATGCCTGAGTTAACTCGCGATTAATCGCATTTTAATCGCACATTTTTTTTCCTGATTGAAAATCATTTAAATACTCTGGATGACATACAAAAAAATACATACAGGCTAGGTTTGTGCCAATGTTCTTTTTTTAAAATGAAAACAGGTCACAGATACTGATTTATGCCATAGAAACATATGGCAAGAAGATGGGGAGGCATGTAGCAAAAAATAACAAATATGTAGCCAAAAAAAAGGCCCTGAAAACAGGCTGATGTAAAAGACAGTCTTTACAGTTAATACAGTCTTTTGAACAAAGACAAGCATTTTACCCTACTGCTATAAAATTTAGTAGAATTAACATTAGATGTTAATTAACCAAGGTAATAATGAACAATTTTCAATCAATACATCAAAATCAATAGACCAACATCACTAGATGAAGGTAGTCTATGCTCTCTAGAAAGTTACTTTTCAGCCTCTTAACAAAAATGAGAACACACACACACCCACTCACCCACTCACCCACACACAGACACACCCACCCACACACACACACACGATACCGACAAGAGTGCCGTAGCAGATTCCATTTCACCTCAGTAATCTGTTTTCTCAGCGTATTTCAGGTTGCTACTAGTTACCAGACACTCAACTTGTTTGTTGGTGGTGGGGCTTAAAGAAAAGGCACTAGCGCCACCCAGTGTATGAGCGTCTTTTTTCCTTGAGGAGCTCCGCTCTGGAAGCCTATGAGAAATGCATAGACTGGGGGAAAATAGCCCCGCCTTCCCGCAGGCTGCAGCGGGATGCACTTGGAAAATTGTACCATAAAACCACATAGCGTTAATCTCGCGTTAAAAAAATTATCGCCGTTAAAATGGCCTCGCGTTAACGCGTTAATAACGCGATAATTTTGACAGCACTAATTAAAACAAAAAGAAAACTGCAGGTATTCGCTTATTTCTTACATTTTCACACCCCTCTACTGCAACCTTTTAGAGACCATCTGGACTCTGTGCTGTGAGTCCCTGCAATGTAAGCCTTGTTATGGTATAAAATGTGACTTTCTCCCATGTTCTGCAGCTATTTTTAATGCTTAATATTTAGTAATAAACCATGTGGCAGATGAACACAGTGTTTTAAGTGCTCATTGTTTTTTTACTGCCTTAAATGCTGCATCTTTTTCAACAAAGAAGACTTTTCTTAGGAGTATTTGGAAAACTTTGCATACAGTAACTGTTAATCTGCTTGAACATATGTGTTGTGATGTGATTGTTGCCTTTTTTGTCTCTTTGCAAAGAAATAATTTTTAAGTTACTTTTAAACAATTAAGCTGAAAATATTTGGTATGTGTGAACTTATGGATTTAATATTTTGGCTGTTGACAATGGTCAAAAACTGGTATCAAAAACAGCTCCTTAAGACTGTTACTGTACCTAACATTAACACAACTTAATCCAACTACTGTGATTAAGAGAGTTGAATTGTGTGAGCGAATGGGTGAATGACTGAATGTAGTGTCAAGTGCTTGGGTCAAGTTCTCTGACTTGTGGGAAAAAAATGCTATACAGAATAAGTACATATGATTTACCTGATGCACACCCTTTTTCTGCACTAATTAGGCATGAGTCCCATTGGAATCTTGTTTGCAATTTAGCCATTTACGTACCAAAAATTTGATAAAAAACACTTAAACACTTTTCTTGTAAATACAGTAGGACACCCAGTCTAACACTGTGGGGCGTCTTTATATCCTTGTCCATAAGGCTTCAAAGTCGAATAAACCCAGAAATAATATCTATAGTGAAATGTTCCTTCTCAAGTGTTTCTTTTTCCTCCTTTTGCAGCCTGCCACTGCCACACTAATGGTTCTCTATCAGAAGTTTGTGACAAGGAAACTGGTCAATGCCAGTGCAGAGAAAATGTAGTCGGACTTCAGTGCGATAAGTGTAAGGTAAGGACTGCTGTTATTTATGGTCACTGTTGGACTGATCAGGGTTCTATGTATGAAGTTGATACAAATGATCTGATTTGACCACAAAGTGAAAAAACCAACATTAGAGAAAAGCATTCATTATGTAAATTTTTTAGCATTACTGGTTTAAATAACCAGTCCTACTTAGAGCCGAGCTCTACCTGTCTCTGGGTTTGTGTATGGAGGGGGGGCAGTTTCTGCCATGTATTTGTTGACTTGTGGCTACAATATCTCAGGAATATGCAATATTATGGGGAACTGTTTACCTGTCTAGGCATTAGAGTGAGGACTATTTTTCAACAACCAGTTGTAAAGTGAGGACATGATGTCAATTGGCTTAGGTTTAGAGTTACAATATTTTTAGGGTTAGGGCATAGAACGGTTTGCAAATGACTGACAATAAATGGAGGTCAATGAGATTCAACACATTGTCCTCACTACATAGAGCAAAATAAGGATGTGTGTGTGTGTGTCTGGTCTTGTGTTACCTACAATGTTGAGGAAGTATTTTGTAAAATATCCTGCTTGCAAGGACTTACAAGTACATAGGGTAAGGGTCTGGATTAGGCCGCATAAAAGGAATGCAAGTCTATGAAACGCTCTCATATGTAATGAAAACAAAGGTGTGAGTGTGTGTGTGGGTGTGTGTGTGTGTGTGTGTGTGTGTGTGAGAGAGAGAGAAAAATTCCAAACATTGTGTTATTTCTAAACAGAAAATGACAGCAGCGGTCAAACAATAAGACCAGCCACTCACTAAAACAGCCAAATGTGTTTCTTGCTTTTACTCTTTTGGAGATTTCTAAAAGGTGGCTTTTATTTTTAAATTAGCCATGTTCAGATGTACTGTAAAATAAATGACAAAAAAAAAAATACATCTTCATCAACTTTGCTTCTCTTCGTCTGCGGCCCTGTTATCTGTTTCGGGACATGCTTCTTTTTTCCTTGGAATTACTGTCTGCATACCTTTGGTTCTTCTAAAAGCTTGCTAATTATGACCAATTGTGAATTTTAATTGTGAATTTTGGTCAATGCTGTTACATTACCTGGTAGAGATTTGGCATCACTGGTTTAGACCAAATAAAAAATTGTCTGTTACCATTGGATCGTTTATCGTTTTATCTTTAAAGTCTGAGCTTCTTAAGATGTTTAATCAATGATTTTCCTCACTGCCATGTTATTCATTTTTCCTACTTTATTCTTGAAAGCTATCTATAAATCTATTTGGGAAATATCAAAAGGGCTAAACACTAAACACTGTCCTGCTTTTCCAAGGAATATAAGTGTATTAATGCTATCTACCTTAATATTTTTGATAAGTGATGGCAACCCTTCCTTTGACTTTTTTAAGCTTCAAAACATTGAATAATGAGACAGAAGTTGTTTTATATTAAAGCCTTGCTGTTGTCTATGCAAACTTTTACTATAATCTAACTATTTATTTCAACAGCCACAAACAAAAAAGACTGGAGATGCTTCAGTAGCATTTTTCCTCATCTGCATTTTCCTAATTTTATTTTCACTCCTCACTTATTCTTATCAACCCTTTGCCTCCCATCTATCCATCTGGATTGTGACTGGTCCAGGCTAACTGGTGGTGGGACGTTGAGCTCCAGGAATGTATGCCCTGCCGCTGCAGTCCTTATGGCTCCACGTCTCAGCGCTGTGACACTGAGGGCCGCTGCATTTGCCGACCTGGCTTTGTCGCCCGACGCTGTAACCTTCGTCGCCTAGGTTACGAGAGGCGGGAGACGCGGCGGCCTATTGAGAGTCTTCCCATTGAAGCTGTGCAGCAGAGGTGGGGGGGGACCTCCCGCACATCAGGGGGTTGTCCCAGGGGAGCTTACAGACCTCAGACAGGGGTAACACACCCTGCATGTGGATGGCAGTGGTTGTGTTTGCAGCAGCATGGGTGTTCTGGTTTTCAGCTTATGTGGGAAAATGATTTGTAGTCTTTTTTTGTAAAGGAATAAAGGTGAAGACTAATATCAGTTGTGATAAAACAATAATTGTCTTTTCGGGGTATTAATGTTTGTTTTTAATGAAACAGCGTGTAGAAGATAATGCATGCTGTCTAACATTTTATACTCCAAATAGCATCCTGCATGTTGTGTGGTTTCTTGAACAATAAAAAAAAACAGTAAGCTTTAGCGTTTTAATGCAAGAGCTACTAAAAATTAAAGAGACACGCATATAGAGATACATAAAAATGTCTCAATTTACTTGGTTTTTAAAGACGTTTTCCCCATTAAATAAGAGTAACCAAATTTCTTTTTAGAAAGACTTTTTTTTTTAACTTTTTGCTAAGTTTGTGCCTTTTACTTTTAACCATCTTAACATGTGCTGCTTTGTTTGTTTTTTCAGGCTCAGACTCATGGTGTCACCACAGGTGGAGTGTGTGTTCCATGTCACTGCAACTCATTCGGCTCAAAGTCTTTCGACTGTGATGAAATGGGTCAGTGTCGTTGTCAGCCAGGTGTCACTGGACCCAAATGTGACAGATGCTCAAGAGGATTCTTCAACTTCCAGGAGGGCGGCTGCACACGTAAGATGAGAGCTTAAGTCTTCTTCTAAAAAGAAAGTGTATTTGCATTAAAAGACAGTTTTATTTAAAAGAAGTAATCTTCACTAGCTATCTTTACATGCACAAACTATAACATTTTTAAAACATTAATCGGACTCCAAAACAACAGAAAAATCTGATTTTACCATTTACATTAACTATATCAATCATATATATCAGCATGCCAATAGGAAAATTCCGACATAGCATATAACTACTCAAAGCAGAAGTTTTGTCACATCGACAGTCGGTTAGGTTGCCTCAAAAGGAGTCAATCAGCATAAACCAGTTAGATTAGAGTTTCATGCTGAATTTAATCAGAATATTTTGTTTGGTTGTTTGTTGTGTTAACATGATGCATGCTAAGGCTACGTTCACGTTGCAGCATGAAGTGACCCAAATCCGATTTTTTTGGGCCCAAATGCGACCTGTGTCTGAACGGCCAAGTCGTATTCATCCGACCTGAACGTCATTAATACCCGACAAAGGTCACTATTCTGCGTCTTGCTACTGAGAAGCAGCAAGAAAAACAACAACCATGGCAGATGATGATGCGGAGAGCATTATATATGTTTAAACATATTGAAAAGATTGACTTTTTATGGTTGGAAAAGACCGCTAGATACACGCCAGCACTACCGTCCATGTTTACTTCCGTAAACATAGAGCACACTGGCCTGTGACATCATTGTGTCCTCTACTGCGCATGCGGGACACTTGCGTTGTATGATTGCAGTTCACACAGGATATCACATACAAGTCGCCTATATTTGGAAATATGAATGGCAACGGAAAAAAATCGTATTTTTACAAAAAAATCGGAATTGAGCATCAAGGCCTGTAGTGTGAACGTAGCCTTAGTCTGATCTGCAGTTTATTGGATTACTATACGTGGGCATACACTGTACAGCTGAGCTACAGCTCAAACTGTATGACAACTGCATAGTTTAAAAGTTCACTACACACTATGTATGTTATTACACTGTACAGCCCAACACTCTGATCCGATCTAACTGCTCATGCTGTAATTTGTAAAACCACACGATGGCGCTGGTTGGACACCTCACTAGGGCGACTGAATTTTATATATGTTTGGTTATCAACCGACTTTACGATTCTGGATCAGGAGGTGGTCGTGAGAGGCCAATTGCTCCTCGTTACTCCCCTGTATACTACACAACGCAGGACTAATATTTAATATGCAAATTTTTTCTGATGCATGACTTTCATATGAAGAGAAGTTTGCCATTATTTGTTCTTATACTTAAAACAACACAAGCAAGGCACAATAATAACACCAAGCAACCATTTATCTGAAAATACTATTTTTGTTTTGAACAAACATGACAGCTTTATCTTAATATCAAATGTTAAAATTATAAGTGCTATAAAGATAAATTTGCATATTAGAATTCTTGATATTCTAATTTTTATCTGTTTGGTACAGAAATTTCCCTGAAGCATTTACCTGTACTACCAAAATAAATTTTATGGCACTGTAAATCAAATTAAAGAAAAAATAGAATGAGAAAAAAAGAGGAGCACTGCAATTGTTCTCAACTAATTCTGTACAAGCATACGTGTTTCTAATGAAGTTGCTCTAAAAATACTCCTCTTTACAATATTCAGTTTGTATATAGTAACTTTGGAGAGAAGATATCAAATGTAAGATCCTGCTCCTTTTAGAGATATATAATAGTTGGAACTTTTCTCAGTTGTGTTTAAAAAATTAAATATAAATTTATGTATCAAAAAAATGTATCAGTCACTATTGGAAATTGGGCAGCGTCTGTTAAGTTTTAAAAGTGATTTTGAAAAAAATTAATAGAGTGTGTTTTTTTTGGTTTAAATACAGTAAAGTTGGAATTACAAAGCTAATTATTCTGGGGAAAATCTTTTACTTTAACCAAAGGTTACCAGTCTGAGGTTGAAAGAATATTTGCTGCAAAAAGGAATGTCTGTTATGGTGTAAAAATAATTCTTTATTGTTTTTTTGTTTTTTTTTTCTCTATATTGTCTTAATGGTAAAATGGGAAGATGCAATTAGACCAGAGATTTTGCCAAAAAAGGTTAGACAAGATACTAAATGTAATTTTTTGGGATCAATAAGTATTATTATAATATATTTTTTACAATGAGATTTTTTTTTTTTTTTCATTCTTTAACATTTTTTGTCAATTATTTCAGTTTTGTTCATCAAACATCCTCCAGAGCCTATCTTCTTGCCCCAGCATGCAAATCATTACACCTGTTTCTTTTTGTTAATCATCGCAGCTGTTTCCACTCACCCAATCAGTGTGTGAACGTTAGCTTTAATGATCTTGTAAGCTATACTGAGTTTGTAGAATTTGGTTATGTACCTTGGTTATGATATATTTAAAAATACTTATTGTGCCATCTACAGTCTTTTTGTTTTATTGTACTCAGTGGGTTTGCTCTTGTTATTTTCCTATCTCACAGCCTGCCAGTGCAGTCATGTGGGAAACAACTGTGATGCGAATACTGGACAGTGCATCTGCCCTCCCAACACAATTGGTGAGAGGTGTGACCGCTGTGCACCTAACCACTGGGGCCATGATATCACAACTGGATGTAAGGTGAGACACTTTATTAATCAAAATGGTAAGTTAGGGCTAAACCTCTTTATGAGGAAGACAATGTAAGCTAGTACATAAAGATTTGGTTCAAATGTACTGTATTTACATTTTAAGGGGAGTACCTCATGAAGCTCTTAAAAATAATGTTCACAGTGTGCAAGGCAGTAATCACAACAAACCTGCATTCTATAGGGGCTTTACATTTTCGTGATACAGCTTTTATTATGCATTAGAGAGAGTGTCTTCATACAAGTACTTGGGAATATGGATAGATGATAAGCTTTCTTTTAAAGTACATATCAATACATTAGTGAAGAAGCTTAAAGTAAAGCTTGGTTTTTACTTCAGAAACAAATCTTGTTTTACCTTCAGTGCTAAGAAGAAACTTGTAGAAGCTACTTTTTTTTCTGTGATTGATTATGGAGATATATTGTACATGCATGCTGCATCCTCCATCTGGCGTCATATTGACTCAGTGTACCATGCATCATTACGATTCATTACAAATTCTAAGTCCCTTACTCATCACTGCATTCTTTATGATCTAGTTGGTTGGACATCACTAACAATTCGTAAAAAAACAGCACTGGTATAACTTTATCTATAAAGCAATACTTGGTAAACTCCCACTGTACCTCTGTAACCTCCTCTCTGTGAGTTCTGGTAGTTATCAGTTGCGCTCCTCTCAGTGGTTACTTTTTAATGTACCCCGAGCTTCAACTGAGTTGGGAAAAACTGCATTCTCCTACTCTGCACCTTTGGGATGGAATAACCTCCAGAAAGAGCTCAAATTAGAAACTCTCGTGTCCATTAATGAAATTAAAGCAACCATGAAGAATGTAGTGATGGAGATATGTGCTTGTTTTTCTTGAGATGCTCAATGTTTTTGAACATACTGCTCTGATTTTATTGTTTTATTTTTTTATTTTATTTTTTTTTATTTTCAAATTTTTTATTTTTTATTATGAAAAATGTAATATGTTGTAAATATGTAAGAACTTCCTGTGGTTTGGCTGCTACCTTGGCCAGGTCTCTCTTGAAAAAGAGATTCTGAATCTCAATGGGACATCCAAGGTTAAATAAAAAAAATAAATAAAATTAAAATAGTAATTTTTTTCTTAAAATTATATACCTTAAAGTAGGTTTGATAATAAACCTGTACAGTAGTTCTGGCAAAAGAGGGTTTTAGGGTTTTATACAGGATTTATAAGGACCCACCGCATTTTATTAATAAATTATTAAAAACATTCCAATCAGAAATATGCCTTTTAAAGCTTGAGTCCTGACTTTTCTATTTCTACAACTCAGTATAAGCATTAAAGGAAGATACATGGCTTTAAGGTTTACGGTTAATGATAAGTTTAAAAATCTGTTTTTTATGCAATAAATGAGATTGTATTTGCTAGATAGAATTTTTTTTTTTACTTTATAAATACCTAATTTACTCATGCCAAGACCTATTATTAAAGAATGGAGAAAAAATCCAAAACCATAAAACGCTTAAAAGAAACTTAAACTATATTTCACTGCTGTAGAATTTTTATAATGTTTATGAAAAAAAAAAAGGTAACTTGCACTCATGTTTGTGTTTGGGGGAAAAAGGAGTGTGGCTGCAATGGGATCGGCTCAGAGACCCAGCAGTGCAACGTGAACACAGGCTGCTGCAAATGTCGCGCTTCCTTCAGAGGAGAGAAATGTGATGAATGTCAAATCGGGTACAGAGACTTCCCTCAGGTAAAAGGTCAAAATTAAAGATGTTTTATGCAGTACAGCCTCTGTGCCAACTACATGTTTCTGTCTTTTTTTTTTTTTTTTTTTTCTATGTTGGTAAACCACAAACTATGAGGTTTAATATTTAGTCGCTTGGGTAGTTTGACTACCAATTTTTGGCAACATAACTTTTGTAGAATATCAGTATGAATTTTACAAAAGTCTATATGACAAAAAAATAAATTGAATGTAGAGGAGTTACTTACTAGTAAACTTTTTTTCGTTTTTACAAATAAATGAATAAAAAAAAAAACATTTAAGGTATAGTGAAGGATTTTTGTGAATTTTTTTAAAAGACCTACCCTCTACACTTTTGGAAAAAAAAAAAAAAAATGCACATGCACACCCCTATACCCGTTCCTGGGAGGGACTGCCTATTAAATGCGTGCAAGAGAGAATGCACGATCCCATTAATCCTTGTGCTCGCTCTTTTTGAAAAGTTGTTTGCATTGCTCATACAAGCTTACTTTACAAAAGAAGAGTGTACGTCAGGCACACCACCAATAACTGAAAATGGGGACGAGAATGTTGGACGGCCTTACGTAAACGTATCACCAGAATGATTGACAGTTTTTTTAGATTTAGATGATCCACCTGGAAAAAGAACATCCTCCACTACAGCTTAAAGATAACTCATCTGCTTAGATGATGTTTCATTAATTAAAACCTTAATGCCGGCCTATAGCTAGTAAAAATCACTGCTGAGCATATGTTCTTTTAACCTTGCATTGTTTGTATTCACATTTTACAGTGTATTCCGTGTGAGTGCAGTATTGCAGGTTCGGACTGCGAGACCTGCGACCGGGAGAAAGGAGTATGTGCCTGTGCTGACCGAACAGGGAAATGTAGCTGCAAGGTAAAACTACATGGTTCATCTTTGTTTGTGTGGGTCATTTCTTGTTTTTTATCCATTTGTAATCATTCTGATTCTTCTGTTGTTTGAGTTTATCCTTTTTGAAGCAAAGACAAATTATTTGGCATTGTTCAAAAGGTGAAGTTTGTGAGGTTTTATGCGATCAATTCTTCATTTTTGTAAAAATAACGTGTCCCTGATAATACAGGTATGGTTCAAATAAGAAAAACTAAAAACAAAAGTTTTTTTTCTTGCCTCAAAACCTTTCGATAGACGTGAAGCATATATTCACAAACTACATAGACAGATAAGATCCAGAGTCATTAATGAATCATCACTTTCTAACTGTGACAAGCTTCTATTTCTGATTAATTCAAGGCATGTTCAGGTTATAGAGAGATTTTCTCAGACAGATGACAATCTCATACACCACAGGTTCCTCTTCTCTGTATTCATGACAACTGATTGATAAAATTTAATGAGATATCAGGTAGTTTGTGTTATCTTCTTTCATAAAATACATGAGTCTGACTGCTTGTCACTCATCTGTCACTTGTCTCTCTGTCAATTTGGTTTTTTAATGTTGGTTGTTTAAAATTCATCATAAATTAAGCGCAATTTAATTTTATCATTTCTACTCCTTTTTGAAACTGTTTTTATATTAATACATCTGCTCTTTTTTATTTTGAGAAACATCTAAAATGCCACAATTTTATTGGGGAAAAAAATAATTTACACTGTATAAAAAGACTTGTTCATTGCTATTTTCGGCTAGCCAGGAGTACAGTTTTTGTTCAGGTGTGGATGAATCTTTTAAAAAATGAAAACAGTTATTTTTTGTGAATTTCTTAGTTTGTCAAAACTACTTTTCAACTGTAAGGCAGTTGAAAAGTCTGGTTCAGAATTTAAAATACCAAGGTTTTCTTGAAAGTTTGCTGGGATTTTTGCCCAAACCCTTCTTGGATCAGCCTGCAAATTTCCTGTGACACCTAGATCAGAGCTTTGTGATGGACAATTAAAACACTGACTGATGTTTTTCAGTATCCCTGGGGACAGGAAGTGTCCCATAGCTTTTACTTCCTGGTGGATGTCTTGAGATGATGCTGAAAAAGTTTCAAATGATGGTCTTTCTGTCTACCATATATACTATCTTTAATGTAGAATTCTGAATTTCAAGAGCGTAAAATAAGATTTTGTAAATGCACTTTTTAACATCTAATTTTTACTTTTCACTAGATAAAAGTTTAAATGTAATAAAACTATGCTTTAGTAAGGATATGGGAGAGAAGAACCTCAAAATGATTTAAAAAATAAATGAAATCTATCGGTTTCTTTGTTTCTTTTTAGGAAAATGTGGAAGGACACAATTGTGATCAATGTAAGTCAGAGACATTTGGACTATCTGAAAAAAATCCTCTTGGCTGCAGCAAGTGCTACTGTTATGGACTAACACGCTCATGCACGGAGGCACGAGGACTTATAAGGATGTTGGTGAGTATGAAATGTTTAACTTGTAAGTTTTGATTAATATGAGCAAAGCTAAGCAACTCTTTGACATTTTTATTAGATTTTTTTCTTTTTAAGATTCTGATGATGCATGTTTATAGTTGTAAGAAAGGTTTGTTATTAGTACACCACCTAGCGCAGTAAGGTGCCATAATCAGTTAGGTAAAAATTAAGGATTTTTATTTGTTTCACTGGATCTTTGGCAGCATATGGAAATAATTTTTTTTTTCCATAGGGGTACGTACATTTCTAAAGGAATATATACTGCCTATGTTAATTTTTTTTTTTTTTTTTTTACATAAATTGCTATACTAATGTACATTAATGAAACCTTCAATTTTGCAAACTCAACAATATCTGAAGTTGTTTTTTTTGATAGGAAGTTACATTTTTGCTGTTGTATAATCTTGAGTGACACAGAATGAAAATTACATGTTACCTTAAATATGTGAAAGAGTGCATTTGACATAGTAACAGCGTATATATATATATATATATATATATATATATATAAATGCACATTTGATGCAGAAAGGTATATTTTTAAAGCACAAAACGTATCACAGAATTCTTTCTCTTTAGTAATAAGTTGCAGTTTTTGTGCTGAATGTTTTAGAAAAGGGAAGCTTCATTTCATCAACAAGCGTTCATTTAAAGTTGACAAGAGCAGGATTCAGGGAGAGAAAACTGACAGAAAAATACATAAAAAATGGGAAGTTTATTGGAAAGAGATTTTCTCTGAACCACTGAATCGTGAGATTACACTAAGTGAAGTGGGAAATACAAGTGCTTTCACACATTATGACTTTCTATACACATTTACAAAAGTCACATTTACACTGAAACTCGCACTACACAGGAACGCATGGTGTTTAATGAATACAAACGTATGTGTAGTAGAATACTTTACAAATAAAATATTGAACTCTTGACCAGCATAACAAATTACCGAATTGGCTTTATTAAAAGGCATATTCATTAAGCGTGGTTTATTTTGTACATTGAAAATGCATGATGAAGAACATGTGCTTGTCGGTGTGTGTATTTATATTTCAGCTGTCTTTCAGCTGTCAAACGTTAATGAAATCTAAGAGAACTGATTCAGAAAATATCAGGAAATTTACCCAAGTTTTGTTTAGTGTAATAAATTCAGCATAAATACGACCATTTGTTAGTGAACGTTGGTAATTAGACAGCATTATAAGTTATATATGAAAATGAAAGGGGTGTGGAATGAATATAAACTTACTAAGAGATGGCTGTGCATCTAGACTGACAATCTCAGATTAACAATATAGTAACTGGACTAGCACCACTAAATGCAGCTCAGGACATGAAGAATGAATTAGGGCTTTTTTAAAATCCTATTATCATTCAGTCCAATAATTAAATCAATTATGTATATTTCATCAATAATAATGTAAACCTGATGTGAATTTTTTTTTCTCCATTGCATGGTCAATTATCTATTGGAAAAGTGCAGGAAATAATAAATTTTGTAGTGTTGTAACTCTGTTCAAAACAATGGCTGAACTTGTTTCTAACTTAAAGCTACTATTTAATGGCGTATTGGTAGCGTTTTGGTATAAAAGGAGGTTCAAAGGAGGAAATCATCAGTTCTCCTCCAGACTGCATCCCCATCATGGGGTGAGTGAGAAGGTGTGAAGGATCCTCCTTGCGTTTACACCCACGACTACGACCACCCATCTTCCTAGTAGACATGATGCTAAATCTGCTGCGACTGCAAACCTTCTTTCTGTCTTTTTCTTCTTTTTTGGGGGGGGCAGGTGGTAAACAGCAGCCAGGTTAATACCGCGATCAGAGACATCTTTTTATGCAGACCGGGCATAAAAAGGTGTCGTTGGAAATAAATAAAATAAAATAAAGAAAAAATACACACAAATTTCAGTGTATGCCAACGTTTTAGGAGATTCTGGGATGCCAGGCATACCCTGTCTAAATCGATAAGGTGTGACAGGGGCTTTACAGGGGTCATTCTTCAGTGGGTCATCCACAGTCTTGTCTTACTGCAGGCGCTCAAACTATAAGCTGTGGATGGTCTTTCTTCCTCTGTGCAATGTGGGACAGCAACGTCAAACTCCTCAACACTGAAATGGAAAACAGTCTTTTTTTTTCTTTAGGATGACGGGAATAAAACAGATATAGTAGACAAAAAAAAAAGCCTAATAATTGGAACCAGCGATCAATCAGCTCTACAGATGGCGTATTGTTGTCAGAGGTTCCCGGACAAACACTCCTCCTTCTGATGTGCCTCTGGCTCGCCAACCAAAAAATGTCAATATCACATCAGCAAAGGCAGCAAATATGCCGCCAACACACACTGTACTAGATGGTCTCAGTGGTTTTTTTAAGGCACCTCATTTAACCCAAATAAAATGGAAGACCTGTCTCTGAGATTCAATGGAAAGATCTTCTAAAGTTTTTCACATATTACATAAAGTAATTGCACAAACAGGAAAATAAAAAAAAAAAGCTTATCAGTGTATTTATTTATAGTAGTAAGGTTAAAAGAGATGATCTCCATTCAAAAATATATATTCGACAAAAGCAGCTTTAACCTGTATAAAGCAATGATTCTACATTCTGTAACTGTCGACTGGTGAGAGAATCTGCTGCAGGATTGTTGTACTCGGAACTTATAAAGATGTCAATGTTTTAATCAAAATGAGAAAATGTTATGGTTAATATGTGCCTGGAATGAAAGCAAATATCATTGCATCTTTGGGGTCCTGGTTTTATACATAATATAGTAGAGGGGAGTCATTTAGCTACATTTCCCTTTTAAATGCAGCAATGAAACCCCAGACCGATTTGAAGAGTGATCTGTTGTCTTTATGTATTTAGTTAATTTATGTACATTTTCAGAAGCATAACAGAATTTTATATCTACCAATTAGCTGTTTCCTTGTGTCGGGCTATCCAATACAATCACACATTAGATACATTACACTTTTGGCCTGCAACATACAGTGTAAGATAAATAAAGTTCAATTTTTATAGTTTTACAAGACACTGCATGTCCTGATGTTTACTTTGTTTGTTCTGCTTTAAGCAGGTTTTGGTCTTTTTTTTTTTTTTTTTTTCTGTTTTTTCTTATCTTAATCATACGGTTACACGAGCAGAGAGATGGCATCAGAGGCTTGGTAAGATGGGTCTATTTTCGTCCACTCAACCACAACCCACAGCCAATATCAAGCTCTGATTATATTCAAGCAATATTGAACTACAATATATGAAATTCAAAAGAAAAGGTTTTTCTTTTATCTCTTCTCCTCTGTGAAAATAACTGAAATGATGCCTGTATATCAAACAACAAGAAAGGAAGCCAACGCTGTACATTTCACTTATACCTACAAAGAAATTAGATGTTTTTGCCGTGCTTTAACTATTCCTGGAGGTCAAAGTCTATTGTGAGAGAAACTTTAAAAAGTATGTTGTTCTTTCTCAGTAAGTGATGTTTCTTTCAGTCTTTTTGTTTTTTTTTTTTGTTTTTTTTTTTTATCGAAGTACAGTGTTTTAATGGATGCTTGTTATTCCCCCCAACAAACACCTACTATTTCAGAAAATTACCTTCTCTGACACTTGGCCCTAGTTTTTATTTCATATGGAACCACAATCATGGCTTTTTACCATTTAGTTCTTTAAAAAAAAAAAAAGAACAATTATATCTCAGTAATAAATACACCTGTTATACATAATTTAAACAGCTCTTTAAATGTTTCCTCCTTTTGGGAGCTGCCAAGTTTATTTTTATGTAAAGTGGCATTGATGGTGTTTATTTTTTTAATGATAAAAATAATTTAACTTTATTGATCTCACTTGGGAGAATTTTACTTTGCATTTAACCCACCCCTTTGGGAGCAGTGGGCTGCAATCGTGGGGCATCCTGGGAGCAGTCTGGGGTTAAGGGTCTTGCTCAGGGACCCAGAGTGTCAGTCTGTGGGAGTGGGGCTCAAACTCTGAACAGAGGCGATTCTAGAGTCTGTGGGGGCCCCAAGCAAAAAATCCTAGGGGGCCTTACTGACCAGTGTTCATCACCATTATGTTAGGCTATAAATAATCTGACACTAATGAAAAATGTATTAAATAAAACCTTTTTTTTTTATTCCAAATGTTCTAAACATGAATAACCTTGTTATTTTGGAAAATATAAAAGAATAAAAGTAAAGAATAAACTAATAAATCAAAATAAATGTATAATAAAATAAAAAAAAAACAGTAAATTACTTTAAAAACCCAATATAAACTTTGTACAAAATATAAAGTAGTTATAGTAAGTGTAATGAAATGATTGGGGTCCTATACTGCTTCCAGAATTGCTGCTTACAGGCCTTGGCTTGTGCAAATGCAGACATAAGTCCTCCAGATCCAAAGACCTTTGCACACTATATTCTATAGAAATAAGCGCCAGTCCTTAAAGTCTCTCTTGAGACATGGAAAATTAATCATTTTCCTTCAGCTTAGTTACATAATTGCTTTCCAATTTACTGAACGATAGGCCTACAACGTCACCCATTCGCTAGGCTACGTTCATTTTCATTAAGGGAAGTCATCCACCTGGGCAGGGCTGGATTTTGACTGGGCAAAGCCAATGTCAATCAACATTCCATCCAATCTGAATTTTTATATGCGGTTGTGCATCTCCTCAGTCACTATAGCGTTGCCACTTCATGCTCGCCTGTTGCTGTTTATCTACCGGGTGTACAGTAGCTGGCTCTCGGGGGCCCCCCAGCGGCTCCAAGCAGTTGCTTGGTTTGCCTGTTGACAAGGTGCGCCTCGGATTACAGCACCATGGCTCTCGGTTCTCAACTCATTACCTTTTTTATATTTTTAAAACCGGTAGGAGCTCAGTTGAGACTTTTTGTAGTGACTCAAATTAGTCATCCTTCCTGTTCAATGGTCGTAGAATCTTAGCCCTTTTCAGGAACATTTCTTTTCAGTTTAAATGAAGAAAAATTAAGCAAATGAATGAGCGGGGAGATCTCCAGTATGGTGTTCCACAGGGCTCAGTCCTGGGACCACTTCTCTTCTTACTTTATCTCCTCCCTCTTGGCCAGATTATCCAGCAGCACAGTGATGTGGCATACCATCTTTTTGCTGATGACATACAGCTGTACTGCTCCTTTAAAACCTCAGAGGTCCACAAATTACACTCTCTGATAAACTGTCTGTCCCGGATTCAGCAGTGGTTAAACAACTATCTCGCACTGAATACCGAAAAGACTGAGACACTCATTATTGCTCCTGACAGTGCCATCCCTGACATTAAACAGCACCTGGGTGATCTATGTTCCTCAGCCAAATCCAGTCTGCGTAATCTTGGAGTGATTTTCGATGAGGGGATGTCCCTTGCGCTACACTCAAAACAACTGATCAGGAACTGTTACTTCCATCTGCGCAATATCTCCAAGGTAAGGAAAATCCTCTCTCACGATAGAGAATCATCCATGCCTTCGTCTCTTCAAGACTGGATTACTGTAACAGCCTGTTTACCTGTCTGAGCAAGAAGGACCTGGGTCGCCTACAAATTGTCCAGAACTCTGCTGCAAGACTCCTGACCCGAACAAATAGGACAGCCCATGTAACTCCTCTCTTGAAGTCCCTACATTGGCTTCCTGTTGCTTCCAGGATAAAGTTTAAAATCCTGGTCCTTACCTTCAGGGCCCTTCATGGACAGGCGCCTGGCTACATGACAGGTCTGATCCAGCCGTATACGTCGGTCCGCAGTCTACGGTCTTCAGGTCAAAACCTGCTTATGGTTCCTCGGACCCGTTTTAAAACCCGAGGAGACCGGTCCTTTAAAGCGGTGGCACCCCGTCTTTGGAATGAACTTCCCCTGTCCCTGCGCTCTCTGGACTCGGTGGATATCTTTAAAAAGCAGCTAAAAACACACCTGTTTTCACTAGCCTTCCAAAGCACATAGCCTGTTGTTTTATTCCCTTATTTATTATAGCTTTTATTGCATTTTATCTGTTTTTACTTGTGTTGTTTTTTATGTTATCACGTGAAGCACTTTGTGACTTTGTCTGTGAAAAGTGCTATACAAATAAAGTTTACTTACTTACTTTCACTTACTTACTTACTTTCACTCAGAACTGTTTTGTGTGTTTTCTTGTTTTTTTAGGACATTGTTGAAGTCATTTTACATGATTTTATATTATATTTTACTCAATACATCCTGTGTTCTTTTACAAATGGAACAATATATTAAGTTTACAGCTGTAATATAAAACTTGAAATATATCGCTATTCATGACTATACTGTTTTATTTTCTTGTACTACAGTTGACACTGAGGCCAGAGCAGACTGTGCTCCCCCTGGTGGATAAATCCAATACTGTGGAGAAGAGGACAGGAGTTAGCTTCCAGCACCCTGAGATCCTTGTTCATGCAGAATTGGTTGCAGGGACTTTGTCTGAGCCATACTACTGGAGATTGCCAGAGCAGTTTACAGGCTCTATGGTAAGGAATCTTTGCTTGGGTTCTTTGGATTGCAGCATATTAAAATTTTAATATTCAGCTCTGATTGTAATCAGAGCATATGCAGTAATGGTTAAATATGTTCCTATCAAGTTTTTGCTTTGTTTCAGATACCCACCTAATCCAATACTTTAGTGATTTCAGTGTCATGCAAAATTAATGTCACTTGTGCATAAAATAATGTAGTGCATTTGTGTAGGAATTGGGTCCCATTGATCTCACTCAGCAGTAATATTTAATGGACCCAATTCATTGATAACAACAGATATTTTGTCCCGACTGGAGTTTCTCCAAAACAACCTTAACTACAGTATCTAAAGATATCTCTTTTTTTCTAAGGCATACAGCTGCAGTTACTTTCTTACAGTGCTTTTAATGTGGTGCAGTTTGGTAGACTTTAGTTCTACCAAAGGCTAATGATAATATATGTTACTGTGGTTTTATTTGAATTGATGGTGAAAGATGATATGAAGCAGTATCAGCTAAGTGTGTATGCAAAGTTGTGTGAAAACAAAAATAAAATTGTGCTGCCCATTCATTAGAGACACTAGGTACTGTTGGTGTTTGTCATCCAACAGCACGCCCGCCAACGGGGGACGGGGACACACTGCTCAATTGTCCTAGGCCCAGGACCAGGGGGGGTGTGGGGCAAAATTGACATGCTGACCATTAAAAATACAGGCATAGTGGCTCAGAGACGGATCATGCCGTGATCCTCATGGATTACAGCGTTGCCACAGTGCAGGATGACTGATTAAGATCAACTGAATGTTGTGCGTTTAATGGCAACACACAGAGAGAAGTCTTTCACAGAGTTGGCAAATTAACTGCCAGCATATTCAGTGTGCAGAGAATTCCCAAAGTATCTAACCTATCCTACCTCCCACAATGGACGGGATAACAATTTTAGGACTGGCTGATATACAGAATATCAAAAAAGGCCATATTTAGCCTGCTGTGACTGCAGTTCTCCTATGGAGTAGAGAAAAGATCAACTAGTGCATTAAATTCAATAGAATTTAAATATTCAACATAAAATGCAGAAAGCTTTATGAAAGATTTCAAAGGCATGAAAAAACCATGCACACAAACATTCGTATTGGAAATGAAGAACTTGCTTCATATTTTCCTATCTCTACCTGTGACTGGCTGGAGGTAAGCGGGCCTTCAGTAAAATGAAGATAATGGAAAAACTACCTGGGCTCCAGGATGTGTGTGTGTGTCTGTGTGTGTGAATGGGGGAATGACTGAATGTAAAGTAAAGTGCTTGGGTCAAGTCCTGACTTTAAAAAATGCTATATATACAGTGCAGGCCATTTACCATTTAACACTATAACTCCCAGGGCAGTCATTTTGATGGTTAGATATTTTTGATGTGAAAGAACTTTATTTATATTAATCTTATGTTTGTCATGTTGGCTTTTTCAACTGGCATTTTCTGTCTCTAATTCTTTATTCTAACATTGTTTATTGAATAAAATAAAAACCTAAAACATAAATATTATGAAAAACCGCTCGAATAATGTTTGTCATAAAAGTGAAATGGTGGTGTGTGGGAAATGTGTACTCAATCAATTACTGTAAATATATTTGTAAATATAATTTCAGCCTTCAAACCTGTGTAATAAAATAGACTTATATATTTTAAAGATTTATTTTTGATCAAAATTTAAACTATAAATAGTAATAGCATATACAACAGCCTTTAAAAAATGCCTATTTTAAGGTCTACATATCCACAATGGGTTTATATGGCAAACTAGAACCATTTCAGTTGATGACGTCATCACTACTCTTGCATCCTATTGGGGAAAATGCCACCGGTCAATTTGACTAACTGTGGTAGTTCTAGTAGGATCAGTATTCTGGGAGTCCTAGTGTTAACTCCAGTTTTCTCTTCCATTCAATTCAGTTTATTTATATAGCGCCAATTCCCAACAGAAGTCATCACAAGACACTTTGCAGTTCAACCAGATCATACAGTCAAATTGATTCAAAGTTTTCTATCTAAGGAAAACCAGTTGATTACATCGACTCATTTACTCAGATGCAATCCCTCACACTAAGCATGCTTGTAGTGACAGTGGAGAGGAAAAACTCCCTTTTAACAGGAAGAAACCTCCAGCAGAACCAGGCTCAGTGTGAGCGGCCATCTGCTGAGGCCGACTGGGGTTCAAGGAGACAGAAGCAGAGATACAAAAAGCAGCTGTAAAAGGTGGCCCCGTCCAGGAAACACACAGCCAGGCAGACGAGCTCCGAGCCAGCTCCCATGTCAGAGGATGAAGAGAGCACATCCAGCCAGCCACGGTCAGAGAAACAGGACTACACTGGAAAACAGGCCGATCTCCAGCATTTATGAACAAGGGTGTTGATGGGAGCAGCGCAGCTGATATTTCTCTCCAGGATTGTGTCACAGCCAAACAGGAACAGACGAGGCGAAGCTACTATGAGAAAAGCATACCGTAAGAGATTGAACTAACAGATTCTGCATATTGAGAGAATAGAGACAGAATGAAGCAGAATGAGGAAATGGGGGTCCCTATGTCCTCCAGAAGTCTAAGCCTATAGCAGCATAACTATAGAGATAGCTCAGGTCTACCTGTTCTGGCTGGACTTCACGTGCTCACCTCAGGCTTCAAAGAACTTGAAGTAGAGTTTGATGCTATTCTGCTGATGTGTGGCGCTTTTCATGGACTCACAGAGGGGTTCTGCAACTAATATGACACGTACAGGAGGAAAGAATGTAGAATCTGGGCTTTAAGGCATTGACATGTCAGAAAAACATGTATTCTTGTTTTTGTTTTCCTCCCAATATAATACTGTTGTGAAAAAAGGCAGTTATTTGGGAATGGCAATACAATGTCTTTGGCTCTTCATGTTATTTTCTAAATTTAACAAAATAAAAGGGCTTTATTATTTATCCTATCAAAAGGCTTTAAAAAAAATCTCACCTTCTAACTAGGAATTTTTATTTTTTTATTTTTTCTTTAGATCACAGCCTATGGAGGGCAGCTGAAATACGCTGTGTACTACGAGGCTAGAGATGAAACTGGTCCGTCATCCTATGAGCCTCAAGTCATTATTAAAGGAGGTCCAAATCACAACATTCTAATAACCCGGCACATCCCAGGACTTCAGATTGGTCAGCTCACTCGTCATGACATCGACATGACAGAGGTACAGTAAGGAGAAGATGGTTGTGGGGCTACCTTGAATTTGGCAATGCAAGCAGTACTTCAAAAATTCAGAGATACAATTTATCTGCCTCTTTCTATGTTAAGCATGAATGGAGGTATGAAGATGGCCGGTCTATGACCCGAGAGGACTTCATGGATGTTTTGTTCTACGTGGACTACATCCTCATAAAGGCATCACATGGCAGTCTGATGAGACATAGCCGGTAAAACATTAACAGCTTCTTTCATTTCTAAATGATTTATCATTGATAATTGTAAAATTGTTTGTTCTCAAGATACAACTTTATTCTTCAAACATAAAGCCTGCAAATGGTCTCTTTCTGATTTTTATATGTAAACAATTATCAAAAAAAGTTGTAAACAAATATTTACTATGAATCAAATGTTGCCTCTCTTGCAGTATTTCAGAAATCAGCTTAACCGTAGCAGAGGAGGGAACGCCGACAGAGCTAAATGAAAAAGCCCATCAAATAGAAAAATGCGACTGTCCCACTGGATACTCTGGGCTTTCCTGTGAGGTATGCACACATGTAAAGGCTCAGTCTTTGCAAGCAACATGTGTTTTATTTAAGTCTCTCTCTCCTCCGTTTTATGTAATTTATAAGGAATGGTTTGATATTTTATTTTCCAACTGGGGTCTTACATTGTTGTAACTGGTAGTGTGAGAAGACGATCTGTGATTAATTCATTAACATATTCCAAGGCACTTTGTCTAATATAACCTCACGAGGTTTAATCTTCTAAATATGTCCTTTGCTCACTCGTCTCTTTTTTCTTGGAGCAGACAAGCTTCTTTTCTCAAGCCACAGAAATCCTTTTAGCAATGACCTAATCTTTAATTTAATGATGTTTCTATGGAGACTGTTTCTGATACAGACTCTACACATTGGCTTCACTGTGGGTAGTAGTTCCTGAACGCTCTTCAGGATTTCGTGTTAATCTCACAAGATTTTTTTCCTGTTTACTGCCACTTTTTTTTCTTTTCTTCAGAACAATGCTGATTTGTGTTGTTGGGGAAAATACAGGTCTATATAATTCAGAAAGTAAAGGTACTATTAACATGAAGCCAGAGAGGAGCAAAATGAAGCTAACCTTAAAATGCTCAGGTCGTACAAGGCTTGCCTGACAGATGGCTGTGCTATTTGTAGCTGCCGTCGTTGCTAATAAAGTATTTTAAACGGGCATTTAGTGCTTGCAGAGGGAACAGATGGCTCTTTAAATTGACTCCATTAATTATTACTGAACAGGAGAGGGAGGGATAGAGAGTTACCTTGCAAGCCTGCACGCGTATAAATATGCACGGATGTGTATGTCTGTGTCTAAAAGTCACTGGAGTGAATACGTCTTAATTGTGTGTGTGAGAGTGGAATCAGTCAACTGTAAACTAGGGAAGTTACCGTGTGATTATTGTCAGTCCCTGTGTGCATCTGTTTAGTTATGCATTCTAATATCAGCTTTATCGTGTGTTGGTTTGTTCCGTGTTTTTAAATATCTGCTTTGTTTTTTGCACAGGAATGTGCGGCAGGTTTCTATCGTCTCCGCTATGGGTCGCTGGTTTCTGTCCCAGCATCCAGAGTGCCCACAGCTGCAGGCATGGGCAGCTGTGTCCAGTGTCAGTGCAGTGGGCATTCCTCCACTTGTGACCCTGAGACTTCAATATGCCAGGTAAATGAGTATGCACATGTGAGTACTCTGCTGCTAGAGCCCATCACAGAGCCATATGTTGACTAGTTTTCAGAGAAACGAGTGTAATGAGAAAGTGAGAGTGGATTTGCATGAGAAGGTATGTCAGGTACAGTAATTAGCCTGGCGATAATTATCTACCACCTGGCTAACTCGTTCATATTTTAAGTAGCTTTTCTTTTTCTTCTATACCTAAATTGGAAGCTATTCTTCTGCTTTACCTTATATTCATTGCAGTAGAAGACAATTAGATAATCAAGAAGAATTGTTTTTTTTTTAGTGTGTTTGATTTATCTAGTTGTCTTTTTTTTTACTTTCATTTTTGTGAGTGTATCACAAAAGCTCCCAAAATATCATTCGGGGAAAAATATCCATAACTGTTGTTACCATTGTTACTGATGTAGCTTTTATTATCGTATCTTTTCACTTACCTAGATGAACTCTTCAGCAGAGTGCTGTTCCAAGTCACATCCCATGTCTGTTAGGATACATAGGATAGGCTTTAAAGTATAACACATCTGATCAATGGAGCAGGTGGAAGAGTTTATTTTACTTATTTGAATATTGGGGAATATATGTGCCCTTCTGACCATCTAGAATGAAGTGCAGCAGACCAGTAACGCAAAAGCAGCAATAAGCAGTTTTGTGGGTGTTTATATCTATGCACCCAAGCAGCGGGTGGAGTTGCATAAGAACTTGGCATAAACTCTTTCACTGAGAACAATATTGTAAGTTTACCTGCCTGTCTCCAGTCTCCATGGCAACTAGTCAATGTACTTAGCAGTAGGAGGCATCTTTCTCCACTACTTGCATCAATGCATGTGCTTTTAATTTACATATTAGACTATAAAGAGAAAAAAAAATGCAGAACTCAAATTGTTAAGGCAACAAGTGTCAACAAATATTTAATTTCAGGACTTTATCTTGTGCAGTGCTGTGTGGAAGAACTTTAATAAGATCTCTTTTATGTTCCTTTAAGGTTCCACCTTCTCCTTTGTTTTTATACATTCTTAATTTTATTATCTTCTTGGGTGTCCTTTTTTCTCTTCCTACTCACGGCCCTTCTTTACCTTGCCTCGTTCTGTCTCACATGTGCCTAATTTCTCTACATGGTACCAATTTGTTTTTCTCTTTCCGTGTCTCCCCTCCCTCTTGTTTAATTTTTGTCTCTCTTTGCCTGCTAGACTTTTTATTTTTTCCTTGCCCATTTCTACCTCGTTTTCCATAACGGCATCATTAGCATCTTCTAACGGAGCAGACTAAATTGAAAACGCTAAACGAGTTTGTTTCTGTGGTAATTAGCAGTAACGAGAAATTGAGGAAGGTAATGGAAATGACTTGCCTCGTTAAGAAAAAAACTTTCTATTGTACCAACTAAAGTTCCCATTTTCAACAAACAAGTGGAGAGCATTATAGGGGACCTCCGGGATATGAGGACTATAGAGAAGTGATTTTGTATACTATAGTTTTGTTTCGGTCATGTTTGGGAGGGGGGTTATTGTTAGTTGTTAACATTACTGAGTGCTTGCCTCTGTTTCTTTCTCTGTGTAAATATTGGATACACATGTCGGAAGTTCCTTTTATTTATGTATTTTTGCTATATTTTCAATAAGAGTAACATTAGACTTTACTTGGAATGCTTATAAATGAAGTTAAAAATGAGCTTTAAAAAAATCTACCTGTCAACTGTTATGTCTTTCCCAACTTTCAAATAACACTTTATAATGACTATTTCTGCTATTTCGATTTTACACCAGTGTGTAAAATTGCACCTGTGCACAGACGACACATTGACTGCTTCTTCTTTGCACACAGACTTACTACACCTCATCATGCAGAGGTGGGCCTGAGAATCATTACCGTGTGGACAAATGTATCTCTTATCTGAAAGCCACCTAGGCTTGATAAAAGTTGAACCATGGAAAAGGCAAAAAAAAAAGCTGAGAAAATGGGAATGGTAAAGAGCAAAGGCCAATCATTTCTCTTCCAGCGCTGTTGAGATACTGAGCATTATAAAAGCTGTTGGAATCAAATGGGGCACTTCCTACTTATCTGTTAGATGTGTGAATCTGCATGTAACAGCTGTCAGTTGCTTTTTTCTTCCTTCTTTTTAAACAAGAGAAAATTTCAAGTAGATGTAAAAAAAAGATTTCAATGTAATTGAAATCCGAGTCCTGTCGAATTGTTGCAAAAAGATTTCGGTGTAAAGCTGTCGGAGGGCTTAATCCGAAGTTGCAGAGAAAGTGGAAAAAATGAGGCGGCAGGTATTTCCAATTTGCTAAGATGTCATCTCAGGAGCTCAAATTATACTCGGTAGTTTGTATGGCCTCCAGCTAAATCCAGAACCAAGAATCACTGAGCTTAAGGACAGTCTGAGGTGCAACTGAATGGATCTAAACATGTTTTCCTAGAGATTTTCTATTGGATTTAGGTCACGGGAACATGGAGGCCAGTCAATACCATCAATTCCTTCTACTGCCTGCATACTCTTGCCACATGAGGCTGGGTGTTATCATGCATCTTAGTTCTAAGGACTTTATCTGATCCCTAATGATGGGGGGGGGGGGGGGGGGGGAATCTCTTTGTTTATCCTGCGCTGGTCTGTGAACTTCCGCTCAATTTCTAAAAGATCAGGGTGCCATTGTGGAGCATGCCGAATCTTGTGTTTTCTACTCAATTCCAGAGTAGGCACAAGCTGCCTTGTGCCAGTGCTTACCGAAGACGACCTGAGTGAAGCTGGCCCCCCCACCTTCTTCAAATCGGACAAAATTAGTGTCAAACGTTTGTGCTACGTTTGTGCTGGTTTGTGCAGCAAAAATTTTCATTTGTGCCGCAACCATTTTAAATATATAATGACATTTTTTTCCGCACAAACCAGCACAAACGGAGCTGAGTTAATTGACACCCATTTCGTCTAATTTGAAGAAAGTGGGGGGGAGCTTGTTGACCTTTTATGACCTCTAGAAACATCTCTTTATATCTTTAAAATGGTAGCGGGACAAACGAAAATTTTTGCTGCACAAACCAGGAAAAACGTAGCACAAACGTTTGACACCAATTTTGTTCAATTTGAAGAAGGTGGGGGGGCTGGTTGACCTTTTGACCTTTACATCTCCATTAATATCTTCAAAGCCAAAGCAGCACAAACGAAAATATTTGCTGCACAAACCAGCACAAACGGAGCTGAGTTAATTGACACCCATTACGTCTGATTTGAAGAAGGTTGGGGGGGCTGGTTGACCTTTGATGACCTCTAGAAATTATTCTTTATATCTTTAAAATGATAGCGGCACAAACGAAAATTTTTGCTGCACAAACCAGCACAAACGTTTGACACTAAGTTTGTCTGATTTGAAGAAGGTGGGGGGGCAACTTCACTCTGGTCAGAAGACGTTGTGCTGTAAAGCCGTCTACATAAATTCTGATTCTATTGGTTTGGCCAGAATCACTTGTAGGGCTCTGGCAGTACTAATTTTACCTGTCGTTCCAATTAGGAGCAGACTTTTTGGGGCAAAACACATGACAATGAATAAGTAAATCATAAGGAAACAGATTTTCAAATTGCCTGACATCTTAGCATTCTCCTGACTTGTGAACATTGACAATCAAAAGGACTGAAAATAAAAATCCTCTACAGTTGTCTGATATGCACAGTAAAACTTTTTTCATTTTACATGGTAGAAAATAAAACATCAAGATAACCAAATTGCCTCTTTTTTTAATTACTCTTTACTTTCTTTCAATGAAGTCTACTGAAAGAAAAGGCTTTCTTTTACTACATCAGAATAAAACAAACCACACAAACAGAACTCATGCTGGGTGAAAGATGGAAATTTTGAGTGGGTAGTTTGAGATTTTTGAAAAGGTAGGCATAAATGGTCTTCAAAATAGTTGCAAATTTTGTGCATTCATGTTGGTAGAACTGCCAAGACAACACAGAGGGGGATCACTGCGAACGTTGCGCTCCAGGATTCTACGGCGTCATCCGTGGTTCTACAGATGACTGTAAACCTTGTGCCTGTCCCCTTACCAACCCTGAGAATAAGTAATATTTCTTTTTCCTCCTTCTATACTGTTTTTAATGAGGAATCCATCAGTGACTAATTTTTGCATTTGATTCAGACTGTTAAAATTAAACATTCTTTACTCATCAATGTGCTTTTTTTTGGTATCTAGTTTTAGCCCTACATGTGTGGCAGAAGGTGTTGATGATTTCCGTTGTACAGCCTGTCCTGAGGGATATGAGGGGAAATACTGTGAAAGGTGAGACTCATGCAAAGAAAATAAATGTGTCCGAGTTTATCCTTATGCCAACAATTATATGATGATATACAAACAAATTATTCTATGGAGCTCAAAAAACTGTTTTCTGTCTGACCTGGAAAAGGATAAACTCAAACAAATATCCATATATTTCAGCGCATACCTTCCCATGTAAAACTGAAAACGCTATTTATGTACAATGCTAATCAGAATCTTCACTTTCAACCTTTTAGAATACATTTTGTATGTTATGATTAATTTTGTATTATTCGTTTGAGGGTTCTCTAATGAGAATATCTCTGATGGTAACATAATTCTGTTTCACATTAAGATTAACTCAGATTATGTTTTTCTTCAAACTTTAGTCCAGTCAAACCTTATGCTACCGTATTTTCACGACTATAAGGCGCACTTAAACGTCTTTTTTTTCCCTCAAAATGTGCGGTGCGCCCTATGGTGCGGTGCGCCTTATGTGTGTTGTAACTGCGACTTTTGAGACCACCTCATTGAGGAGATGATGAAAGAGTGGCTGAATGTAAGGAGACCAGGTGTTTTTCTTTCCACCCCTCACCATCGCTGTTAATATGTAACTCCATGCGTGCCCATCTCACAGCTGATGTGAAAAACATGGGGAAACAAATTAACGCTGCTCGACATCGGTGTGAACCGGACCCAGCAGGTGCAGCAGAAACAGCGAGTTTACATGCAAAGTCAATGGTTGACGCGCATATAGGTGCAGCAAAAGGTCCCGCAGCGCATTTTGGTGCAGCACGTCGGGAGCGTTTAAGCATCTGAAGCGCCGCGCTTCTGCTGCTCGAGATGGAAAAATTGAAGTTTTGCTGCTGGACGCGCCGCATCAACCAATCAGAGAAGCTGATCTGGGAGCTGCCAGCGAGACAGACAGCGCTCTGATGACATATGATATTAACGCAAATGGAAAAGGCTGGATGGATGCGTGGCTGAGGCAGGTGTATGTGAGAAGACTAGGTGGTTTTTTCCACGCATCACCATCGCTGCGTGCCCATCTCACAGCCGATGTGAAAAAAAGGTGAATCAAATGAACGCTGTGCTCGCCGTTATCCCGGGGGTCTGACAAAAGAGCTTCCACCGCTCGACATCGGTGTGAAGCAGCCGTTCGAAGTAAGGCTGCGAGCGGCGTGGGAGCGATGGATGACCGACGGAGACCACAGTTTCAGGATAAGAAGGCAGCGCCGGGCAGATTACGCCACAGTTTGCGGATGGATTGTAGATGCTTGGACTAAAGTGTCTGCTGGCTCTGTTGTTCAAGCTTTCGCAAAAGCCGGCATTATTTCTGAGGAGCTGCGCTGCACGGAAAGTGACTGACAGCGAAGAAGGGGAAACTGGCATGTCTGATTTAGCGCAGCTGTTTTATTCAGAAACAGAGGATGATGACTTTGATGGGTTTGATTAATACTTTGTAATAAATACATGAATAAAGCACAATCATACTCAGTTTTGCTCCCGCTGTATTTTTCTCCCTGAAAACTTAATTCAACAGCATCCCCGGCGCGTCTCCTCCTCTTCATCGCGGTGGCTGGCAGGTGTTTTTTCATCTAAATAATCTAAATCTTGCAGCTATATTTGCTGTGATCAGTGGGAATAAAGTAGTTTTAATATGTTTTTAAGTGAGAAAGTCCACCTGAAAACTTAATAATTGCAGTCAGTTCATCCAGATTATCTATTTCTGTCGGAGGCGCTCAGACCCCCACATACCAGCGGTGCGCTGACAGCAGAAATCTCTTCATCAGCAGCCTGTAGGCTGGGCAGCCTGGGCTGGCAGGTGTTTTTCATCTAAATAATTTTAGCTGCAGGCACCAGGATACCGGCAATAAAAGCGAACATATTCCGTCAGCAGGTTTCAGGATTTTAAGTTAATTTAGGAGTGACCACAGCGCTGTGTCATCTGCGATGTCTCTGTCTCACGGCCAGCTGCCAGGTTTGATTAATACTTTGTAATAAATACATGAATAAAGCACAGTCATACTCAGTTTTGCCCCCGCTGTATTTTTAAATACGCAGTAGAGGTATTTAAAGGTAGTAGAGGACTTGTACCTGTATATAAAAAACGCGCCCTATAGTCCGGTGCGCCTTATGTGTGTGTTAAATACAGAAATGGGACACATAACTGAGAGTGCGCCTTTTAGTCCGGTGCGCCTTATGGTCGTGAAAATACGGTACTTAGGATTACGTATACAACGTATTACATCCAGGTGTAATTCTATTATAAAAAAAAAAAAAAATATATATATATATATATATTAGTGCTGTCAAAATTATCGCGTTAACGCGAGGCCATTTTAACGGCGATAATTTTTTTAACGTGAGATTAACGCTATGTGGTTTTATGGTACAATTTTCCAAGTACATCCCGCTGCAGCCTGCAGCTATTTCCCCCCAGTGTATGCATTTTCCATAGGCTTCAAGAGCGGAGCTCCTCAAGGAAAAAAGACGCTCATACACTGGGTGACGCTAGTGCCTTTTCTTTAAGCCCCACCACCAACAAACAAGTTGAGTGTCTGGTAACTAGTAGCAACCTGAAATACGCTGAGAAAACAGATTACTGAGGTGAAATGGAATCTGCTACGGCACACTTGCTGTCTGTGTACGCCACAGGTCGGTATCGTGTGTGTGTGTGTGTGTGTGTGTGTCTGTGTGTGGGTGGGTGGGTGTGTCTGTGTGTGGGTGGGTGTGTGTGTGTTCTCATTTTTGTTAAGAGGCTGAAAAGTAACTTTCTAGAGCATAGACTACCTCCATCTAGTGATGTCGGTCTATTGATTTTGATGTATTGATTGAAAATTGTTCATTATTATCTTGGTTAATTAACATCTAATGTTAACTGTACTACATTTTATAGCAGTAGGGTAAAATGCTTGTCTTTGTTCAAAAGACTGTATTAACTGTAAAGACTGTCTTTTACATCAGCCTGTTTTCAGGGCCTTTTTTTTGGCTACATATTTGTTATTTTTTGCTACATGCCTCCCCATCTTCTTGCCATATGTTTCTATGGCATAAATCAGTGTCTGTGACCTGTTTTCATTTTAAAAAAAGAACATTGGCACAAACCTAGCCTGTATGTATTTTTTGTATGTCATCGAGAGTATTTAAATGATTTTCAATCAGAAAAAAAATTTGCGATTAAAATGCGATTAATCGCGAGTTAACTCAGGCATTGATGCGATTAATCACGATTAAAAAAATTTAGTTGTATTTCTTTTGTGATTAACTCTTATTGGTCCCAGTCATTTGCTCTTTGGTGGTGCTGCTCTAGTTTTTTGTCCAACTACAAGGTTCTTCAGTACCAATGAAGGAGAATTAAAACCCATTTAAATTTCCAATGACAAATTGATTATCTATGTTGATTATCCTTTCCTCTAGGTGTGCTACTGGTTATCATGGTAACCCGACGATGCCAGGTGGTCGCTGTGAGGAGTGTAAGTGTTCCTCGTGGGGGTCATTACCAGGACCATGTAACCCTGTCACGGGCCAGTGCCGCTGCAGGGATGGGGCATCTGGAATCTCGTGTGACCAGTGCATGGATAGGCATGTGTGTGGAGCTTCTGGGATAATCTGTAAGACTAACTCTTTACTTACGGTTTATGTTTGATTCATTGTTTTCATGTTCTTAGTTTTCTTAGCAAGTGGAGTACAACAAAATGTTGACTCATTAAAACAACAAATGTAAGTTTGTTTTAGGTTTTAAGTATTAGACAAATGCAATGTGTATGTATGTGTTTATGTATGTATATGTATATACATGTATATGTATATATATGTGTATATATATGTGTATGTATATATATGTGTATGTATATATATGTGTATGTATATATATATGTGTATGTATATATATATATATATATATGTGTATGTGTATATATATATATATATATATATATATATATATATATATATATATATATATATATATATATATATATACACAAGTTTTTTTGGTGAATTTGAAGATCAATCTTGACAAGTCAGGGATAAAGCTTTGGAGAGGTTTAAAGTGGGATAAAATGGTAAAGGTTTAATGTATCATGGAGCACTTTTCAATACATATTTCAAAAGTGTAACAAATCCTGGCCAACGTTATCAGGAGGACGACTGATAGTTATGCAGTCCATTAATTTGACTGTTTCATTATTTTGACTGCACTATTATCTATATACTTAGATACCATAAAGGAAATGAATCTCCTTTTTGAGACTGACCTGTTTCAAGTAGACATGTGAGACAATACATAAGATATATATAAAAAAAAAAGGACTGTGATCACTACAGCTCATTCAGCAAATAATATTTGAGAATAAACTGTAAATCATATCATCTATCACATAAAACACTGACTGAGGTTGTTAAAGAGGTGCTTAAAAGTGGTAAATGGCTGGAATGATCAGAGGATTAATAACTGGACATGTCACAGTCCATCACCAGACCAAAATCCAATTGATTGGATGGATAATCACTGGGAGCAGCAATTTTATTCAAAATGAATGTCCGAAGGTTTTTTTTCCCTCAAGAGGTATGTGATTCTATGGGAATTTGATTTACAGTTGTAGTTAAAATCAAGCACTTAAAAGTTGATTTTGTTCATTCATTAGAATTGTTTTATTATTACGAAGTTAAAGAAACTAGGGGCAGGAAGGATGAAAGAATACTCATGCATGTTCAGGTTTTAATGATAAAGCGTTAAAAATCAAAACCAAGGAGCTCACCGATTTTTTTTCTGCATTGCATTGAATAAGCTGTGTGCTACAAAATAGGTTGCAATTCATGGGGACACATTTCCTTTTTCCCACTACAAGTCTTACGTATGGGATGTGAGTTGAGGCTACATGTGTGCGCCCGACAGCTTTGATACAGAAAGTCGCAGTTGGTTCAGTAGTAGTGGTAGTAGACTAAGAAAGGGCTGTTTTAAACACTCCGTTACTTGACACAGTTCTTGTTGCTGTCATGAAATATATCTGGTGGTGTTGTAGTAACCATCACATAGTAAGCAATGTACCAGTCTCACCAGTGCAGGGCTGTGAATATGGTATGTCCGTTTCTCCATGCTCCTCCGTCGGCTTGGCTGGTGGCTGCAATTACCTGCAGAACCAGTCATGTCTCATTTCCTCTTCCTGCCTCTTGGTCTTTTAAACTCTACTTTGTATTTAGAATTGTTATAAAATTTATAAACATTTGTGAAATTACATAGCATTTTGTTTGACGAAAAGTAAAAAGTTTAAGACTTTTAGAAACCATTGTGGGTGAAAATATCTGCTCTTTAGGTTGATGGGAGATAGCAGGATGGTTTATTAAACAGATATTACTTGGCATGATTATAAAAACGTTGGTTAAAGCTACAGTGTGTAATAATTACAGGGATATAAAGTCAGAAATTTAATATATTATACATAACTATGTTATTTATCATCACCTATGAGCTCAGACTTTTAACCATAATATTTGCGTTGCCTTAGAATTCGTTATTTATAATTACATAGGAGCGGGTCTCGCAGCCATGGGGGCTGACATCTTTGCGCTACGGCAGCGCAGAGCCAACAAACTAGCGATTGCGAGATCTCCCATGACGCTCGAAAATAACTACGGCAAGTTGAGAGAGATTAACTGAGACGGTACTGAACAGTAGATGGCAGTATTATGCCTGAGAAGCGTTTAGTCTGCCTGAAACCAAAGAAGAAGAAGAAGCAGGTATACTGCGCCTCAGTAACAAGAAAGGTGAACAAGGCGGCAGGCGTGAGTGACTTTGCAAACTGTTTGGCACTGTGTGGCCAAACATCAGACGAATGGAGGATCATGTCTACTCTGTATCACAACGAAAAGCGGCGGACACCGAACCCCCGTCATCTAAGAAGCGGAAACACAACGAGAATAAACGCAAGCGTGACAAGAAACGGCAAAAAACACGGATCAACATTGGCACGGAATTTACACGATGGAAGTCACTGATGGAGGAAAACGGTTTTCAAAGTGACGCTCAAGTTGCCAGTTTTCTCTTGGACAGGTAATTAATCCTACACACACAATTGTCTAATATCACTGCAGTTTTTGGAGTACAGGATGCTCAGACCTGTCTAAAACAATAACATGCTGCGTGATGATGCTGTTACTCTACAGTATACTTATTCAGCAACGTCCCTGACGTTTCACAGGTAAAGATTCAGTAATTTTCTGTAAAATAATTTTCTGGATATATACCTCGGTTACTTCTCTCCGGCTCCTTTGGAGATCTTCAAGCCTTTCCTCCTCTGCTCTCACCCCGCTGGCACCGCTGCACGCCCACCCCGCCCTCTCTGCCCTCGCCCTCTGCCCTCTTCCTCGCCTTGTAACCCCCGTGCAACAAACAAGACTTGGACTCTGTAAACGGGGAATATATATTCTTCCAGCGAACACAATCTCGCTGTTAAACTAATGACTACAATTACTTCATCTGTTTATATCACCATGCAAAGCAGCTCACCAAAACGTCACAACAATGTAGAAAAAATAACGGGTATATTTATTATCTAAAGTCTACATGAAATCTATACCCTACACAGACTAATGAAATACTATCTGTAAAATTATCTATGTAAACAAACCTCATCACTTGAGAAGGTAGGTGATTCCGACGTCGTGGAAGACATTTTGTCCCGTAACGCTCGCCGTACTGTTGGGGGGGAGAAGCGGTGGGGGGGAGACGTTCATGTTGCTGCAGTCTGCAGTCTGACCGCTAGATGTCGCTGAAAATTACACACTGTAGCTTTGGTTAATTGCATAGCAATACTGTTCTATTTCCCAAAGTTGGATACTTTCTTTTTGAAGAGCTACAATTTTCTGTTTGCCACTTTTCTAATATTAACATTTTATTTTAAGCCTTTGAGCAAAATAAAAATTACTTGCTACATCAGTGGGTATTGTAAGCCAGATATTTACAATCACTTAAAAAAAAATGTTTAGTTTGGTGCAACTTCACAATAATTAACGATGAAGTTCCGCCAAAGCAATCCCATCTAAAACAGTTGGGAGCTTAAAAGCTTGAGATTAAAAGTGGATATTTTCTGGATGTCGAAGGTTTTTCTCTAAATGGTTGGTCCTTAAATAGTTTATTTGAAGTTTTTATTTATTTATTTTTTGAAGTTTTTTTTGCACTGATATGTCTCACAACTAGTTTGTGTGAACCTACTGACCCTATCTAAATAGTATTATAAACTGAGGTCATTATACAGAATAGCCTTAAACTGCAGAAATCAGAAGAACAGGAAAAAAAGAAAAGCCCATTTGCACCAAAGGTTTCCAGACTCCATGAACCCTTCAGTCTTGGTCCATTTCATTCGTTTTCAATGGTTTCTCTCATTCCTGGGGGTCACATATGAAATGTCACATGATTTTGTAATCTTTGCTGTATTTTGACAATCAAATCTAGATCGAAGCCTTTTCCTTTAGTTGCCATGGGAGACATAATAATAGCAGAAGTCATACTTATTCATTAAAGCAATAATTTCAATGTCATTTGGAGCTAATTTAAACTTAATATGATAATGATGGCAGTGCCAATTTAGTACCATTAACATGCTTGGAAGAAAGTGTGTGAATGAGAACATAGATGAAAGGTTGTAAGACAGAGGCCAATGTGAAATTGCTGCTGTCAGGTTGGTGAGGACATTTCTTGCTCATGTCTTGCATGATCTGCACGTTTCCACATTGAACTTGTGCTTATATATTGGAAATGCTGCACCGAACTGATTGCTTTTGTGTCCAAACCATAATCAAAGCTCTTTGTTCTGACGACTGTATTATTTTATTTTTTTCCCCAAGCTCTGGCTTTTATATAATTTTGCCAGGCACAACAAACCGCTTCTCCCGCATGAGAATATAAAGATATAAACATCTGCATCAATTGCAGAAATTCATCTTAAATATAACAAGTCATGTCACACAGTTTGTTGCATTATTAAACTTGCCTACATAGATCTATGAAAATATGCTTACAATACGATTATTAATCCATTAGATGCAGATGTAACATATGAGTATCCCCCAGCTCATGTCTAGAAGGAGACTTGGGGCCATAATAGATTACCTTCAGTGGGTAATTTAAAGGAGGTATCACATACTCAGTATATTGCTTAATATATCAGCTTAAATATGATCAATTTATGTATGTTTAAATTTGTTTTGGATATGTTCTTGTCTTTTTTAATTTGCTCTAATTTAAATTTTATAAATAACTATATTGTGAGTAAAATACAGTTGCTTATCGAAGCACAAAACATGATGATAAAAATTGAAACACCTGAGTATTCTGGATTTTTCCTTTATACAGAAATTAAATATGCAAAGCAATATATGTTTATATGTAGTTCATCTTTCTCACGTCAGATAATTTCAATTCGTTATAGAAAAAAATAAATATGAATGGTTCGAGATATTATTAGGGTAATTCGTTTTTTTTTTGGATTTAAGGAGGTAAGGTACAAGTGAAAATCAAAATTATGTCTGAAAAAGAATTCAGAATGTAAAATAATAGTTTTTTTTAAAGCACATTTTTGTTTTATCTAATTAGTTTTTTAATCCAATGTTTTGGGGTTTTATAAGGTCTTACACAATGTAGTCGTGTGAAGTATTATTGGGTCGTTTGTTATATAAAACCTTTGTAATGTTACGACGTGCGAAGAGGCAGTCTCATTGTCAAGTATTGTTTCATAAGCAGGGATTCAGAAAAATGACAAAGGAAGGCAAAGCTATTAGCAGGACTATTTTATGTGTGTGGAAGGGTGTCATGATCAGCAGGTCTTGCTACAAACAACAGTTTTGTGTTTTGTCCAAATGCGTGTGCAAATTATGCATGGAACTCCCTGAATGCAGTGGATCTTTTTTGTGATTTGGTTTTGTCAGAGACTGATGGACTAGAAACAGTTTGAATTCATAAAATGGTGATTTCCCAAGTTTCCCATGTGCAATGGTTCTTTATTTTTCTGCAGTGTATGTTCATAAAGGGGCCATTTTCTCCCCATGCTGCTTTCATGTATCAGCAGCCTTGTCTTAATGATGCTACAACATAAAACTTGCCAAGCAAAGTCACACGTTATGTTGATTAGTTGACATTGATGAAATATACAGCAACACAAAACTTACACTGATACTTGGCAAACAACACCAAGGTGTCAGTGGAGTTTACACACCAGCTATTTCAAACTTGTGTCTTTGTTTTTTTTCCTCTAGCCTGTGACGATGAGTGCTCAGGTTTGCTAATAAGTGACATGGACCGTCTCTATCGCATCATCACCGACGTCACTCTGACTACACCCCTTCCACCACCATATAAAGTCCTGTACCGCTTTGAGAACATGACAGACGAGATCAAGGTAAAGAAAGTTTAAACCTTTTTGATTGTGTATATCAAGTCTGGCTAAAATTGTCCGATTCTTCACTGCATAGTGCATGACGCGCGTTAGGTGGCACAAGCTGCTGCTTCAAAGCAATACCCAACTAACCTACCAAAATCTACTCAGGATATTAGGAATAATATATTGTGCATAATCTTATGTGCCACTCATCATTACGTTCATGTATGAAATAAAAATGTTATAATTAATAATTTTAAACACTGTATGATGAAGCCCACCTGTAATTTGTGTGTGTATATGTGTGTGTATATATATATATATATATATATATATATATATATATATATATATATATATATACTATATACATATACATTTTAAAACACGTTTTTAGTTCGTGTTACTGACGCTTATCACCGCTCGCACCCGCACTGTGCGCTCTCCCTCCCGACCGCACCCGCAATGATCTTTCAATATTTGTCCCGCGCCGCACTGCTTTGCGTTGGGTCCCGCGAGACTACCGCGGAAGTGCATGGCTCTACCACCAAGTAAAAGCTGTGCTGATCTTATTTTATCCCATTTATCACTCCTTTTTGGGTTTTTTTGTTTGTTTCTTTAACTTCTCTCTGTACAACTAGTACAGTTAGTTCTCCATTGGAACTTAAAATGATCTACGGTTGTTTTTTATTGTTTTAAACACGCCCTCCACCAACAGCATGTTTTCAGATACAGGTCATCACGACATACACATCACGGCATCTCTCATTGGTGCACTGCCCCCTGTGTATTTATAAACAGCTAATTATTGGCTATGAGAGTGCTTAGATTTTGTGGCGATGTTATTAGACTCTACTGCCCCTTTATTCATTTTTATTGACCCTGATTGAAATGAATGTTAAACAAAATTGTTTCTTTATATTAGTATAAGAAAATTAAAGTTTGACATTGTTTCCTTTACTAATTATTAAAATGCAAAGCTATCTAGAATTGGGAATAAACATTTAAGATTTTTCTCTGTGCAAATTGTTTTGCCCAGCAGCACAGGTCTGGGTGGTATTGGAAACATTGCTTGAGGCCACATTGTGTTAGAGGATGCTTTGTCTAATACTTTCATCTCTCCATTTCCCCTTTGAAGCACATGTTGTCGCCTCAGAAAGCTCCAGAGAGATTACTGCAACTGGCCGACTCCAACCTGGGATCACTGGTGGTAGAGATGGACCAGCTACATAGCAGGGTACAAATCCTTCTGTTTTCTTTCAACTTTAAGCCCGTGTCTTCCTTTTTTTATCTAATTTTTCCTCTCTGTGTAGCCAAAGACATGGCAGACATTTCAGCTTGCATGTAGTGCCTCAGTCATTTTCAAAAGAAGTAGCTGGAAATTACACTGGTGACAGAGTTCAGGTTTTTGAATAAAAAGCTAGATATATTGTAGCCTTTAAAAGCTGTTGGAATTTTAAGTTGAATATTTTGTATCTATGTATTGCTTGTCTAGTTTGATACACAATCAATACGTTTTTATATGATAGGCAGTATATTCCATAAATGTAGTCTGGACTGTAAGCCTAAATAGAACCGACCACCTCTCAGATAAGCAGTTTGCTCCACAGTAATAGTCTCACGTCATACATTTAATTTTACGGCTTTTGTATTGGTTAGATCAATTTTTAATTTTTTTTAGAACAAAATGGATACAGCACAATGTTCGATACCCAACGATCTCGTCAGTCAGGGTCTGCAGCAGCAGTGCACCTTAGAACTGTGTCATTTTTTAAGTTGTTTTTGCCGACCTTCTTTGAGGCAAATTTGAACCCTTTCTCTCTAACTTGAGATTCCTTGCCGTCTGGTATTTTTTTATTTATTTATTTATTTTTTTCAACACAGTTTTGAAACGAATCAGCTGATTTACCAGAGAGTCCTCTATCGGAAAGCCTTTTCAGAAGGATGTTGGGCTGCACAATGCTGTTGTTTTGTTTGTTTGTTTGTTTTTTTTCTACACAACCAATTAATTTAAATATGTAGTTATGGGTTTGGGGTATTGCAGGCTAACAAAGAAGTCAAACGACTCTCATTCTAAAGGGGAGCACCCGTTCATCCAGTCCAATTTGCTTGTTTTCTAAGCCAAAACAAGGCTTTGTTTTTAGTCCTCTCTCTAAAGCCTCAAACTCAACGCTATTTCTGACATCTTTGATTGTAAAAGCTTCCTGGATGGGAAGCAAAATCTCTTCAAACTTTTGAACAAAGTTCAGTGGATTGTTGTTGTTTTTTTTACCATTTTGGAATGACTATGAACGGGATGACTCAGAATCTTCACCAGCAATTCAACTACTACTTTTAAAATTATTGTAATAGGCCTGTGCCTTAAATCAGACCAAAGTCAGTTAAAATACCATTAGATGGTAAATTATCTCTCCCATCTTGCAATTGCTGGAGATATGTAAGGCAAGCAAAAGAACCCGAATGTGGCTACTTTGGTGCTGGGATTGACGTTTTGTGTGAAAGCACCATTAAACTTTCCTGATAGCTTTTTCATTGGCGACTTTGCTAAGAGTCAAGGCTTTAGAAGATTCCCTACCACTTAGTCCTCGAACCTTAGAGTGGCTTTCCTGTTGAATGAAACTTTCCTTTTTTCTCCTCTCCCTCCCTCTCTTTCTAAATGTGTATGCTGTCATGGTTTGCTGTGTGGTGGAGTTAACCAAAAATAGAAAACAATCCCGATCACAATCTAACATTCATGTTGTCAGGCTACACACTTTTAGGGATTTAATGCCTGACATTTATTGACAATGTTAAAGCCCCCCCTCCACACAACCCTGTCAAATGGCAGCAGAACATATAATTATCATCACACTCCAAACTGTGTGTGTCAGTGTTAGACCGAGTGTATTTGTATGTTTTTATACATGTCTGGATTTTATCCATCTCCTTGTGCTCTTGAGCTTGTCTTTAAATGTGAGGTTTTGCTCATTTTAAGTCTTGATTTGTTTGTATCTATTTATCTTGTGTCACTTCATAAATTCTCATTCTTGATTTAACTTTCATATATTCATGTAATGCCTGTTTCCTCTTTGATGCATGTTTATGTTTTTGTGTAAACAGGCGACTAAGGTGTCCGCTGATGGCGAGCAGGTAGATGATGATGCAGACAGGATTCATAAACGAGCTCAGGACCTGGAGCAGTTCATTAAAGACACACTGTTGGGTGCTAAAGGTAAAGAATGAGCTCTCCCCTTTTAGCTATGTATTAATCCTGTCAATATTTTCTTAAAAAAATTATATCTATTGTTTTACTCTTTTTCTTCTTGTTATACTAAAGCTAATTGAACATTCTCCTGAACTGAATGGCTCCTATTGGGGAAATGTAGAAAAGTATATTGTAGATGTGGATGTAGAGCAAGAAGATGTAGTGAGGGGGTATTGGAAAAAAATAGTTTTTCAAAAATCTCAAGACTTAATGCTCAGTGAAATTCTGTTTACCAACTTTTGAACAGAGGCTTTGAAGGAAGCCAACCAAATGGTTCGTCTAATGGAGAAAAGCACCCATGAAATTGGTGCTGATGGACAAATTGACGGTGCTCGATCAAAGGTGTTGGTGCAAAGTGTTGCTGTAACTATCAACAGATTTCTCAAGCCATCACAACTGATCTACTTGCTTTCCTCCACTTCAGCACAGCCATTTTACCCAGTTCTATTGGCATTAAGCAAGTTACTATAGAAATTATAACAAAATATTTATCCTTAGATCTTTTTCTTTAATAACAAATCTTCCGTTAAGTGGTAACTTAAGCTATTTTCCCTCTACTTATTTACCAGCATTGACAAGATGCTGATGCTACCTATAATAGATTAGCTGTTTAAGTCCTTTTTCATTTGCACCAGTAGAAAGTTGATGAAATTACTTAAACAAGGATACAAGCTTCAGATGGAAAGATAACAGCAGTTAGCATTTACTATTTACTAGTCAAAATTGATTAATAATTAATGAGTTTGTGAAGGCTTTATTGAATCTAGCCATGCTTCAAGAATTATGAAACCACAACAAGGTTTTTACTTGACTTCATTTAAGAAAAGGTCTCATAAAACAGCTATAATTCAGTACTGCAATTTCTATTAATAAATAAAATTTTCACTTGTTACAGTAGCTGCATTTGCACATTGATCAGAGGCAACCCATCCTTCCCCCAAATCAGGGCCGGCGATTGCTACAGGCGAGCTAGGCAATTGCCTAGGGCAACAAATGTGTTGGGGGCGCCCTCTAGCGTCGCCCTTAGGCTTACTTCCCATTAATCATAGAATTAGAAAAAAAAGCGAATTAAACCGGTTATGAAGCGTCCGTCAGTTTGACTTAACCTTACGTATATATAAATAGCAAAATATGAACAAATAAATATACCACTGTTTTTTTATTTATTTTTTTTATTTATTTTCCTCCTCCTGCCGCCGCAGTCTGTCCGTCTTCATCATCCACTCAGAGTACCACTGGTAAGCGCGCACACAGACTTTGTAGCTTGTCCGGTCAGTTAAAAATAGTAATTGTGAAATCCGTGTTGTAATCGGAAGCATACAAGCTAGTTAGCTTGAAAAGTAAATAAAGCTTCAGACGTGCTGCGTGATGATGTGTTCAGATTGGCTCAGTAAAACGACAATTAGGTTATCATAATGTATTCAAGTGTAACGTAAAGAAAACGGGAAATTTTGTTTTTGGCGAGAAACATGAGTAATACAGTTGTATATTGCTCTATATATAATTAAACTACTGATGCCAACATTTATTAAAAATTACATTTAATTTAAAATACAATTATTTATTTGTTAAATATTTTCCTAATCACTAAAAAACATGATGAAAAGTGACAGTAGACAATACATTAACCAACAATTGTGAAAATATATTCTAGTTAGTTTTATGTCATTTCGAAGTGGCCTATTACATTAGCCATGTTTATTGAAGGCTAGAAACGTTTTTGTTATGCTCACTTGTTAAGCAATAGAAGCAATACCAGTTCTGTTAAAAAAATTTTGTTGCATCGTCTTTCCACCAAATAACAGAAAAGTATCGATAGTGGTATCGATAAAGACTCGGATCGATAAGGAGTATCGATAAAGGTATCGATATCAATAAATATTAACGATCCCCATCCCTAATGTTGACATCATTTTTTTCTCAGTATATATGCAGCAGAATTATGTGCTATATTATTAGCTTGAGAATGGGTAGAAGATACTAATATAAATAAAATATTTTGTAGTGATTATCTGCATTGAGTATTCAAAAGGGATGTACAAATAATCATCAAAATATATGAAGTTATGGCTGTTCATCATAGAATATGTGAACAAAAAAAAAAAACAACAACTTCAAACTTTAAATTTTGTAATGGTATTCATAAAAGCACTTTTGTTTGTAGAGGGTTAATCCTTTCTTTAATCACTAATCAATGTCAGAAATCAGGGTAAATATACCTGATATATTTTATTTAGAGGAAAATTTTGTTTATCTCATTTCTATTTATGTTCAAATGATTTAATTGAACTGGAACAGAAAATTTAATTTAATGTTTATCAATTACTTTTTTATGTAGTCCTTGGTTGAAGAATTTCTTAAATTTATTATTTTTTATTGTTATTTGGTAATTTCTGAAATTGATTTATTTAATATTTGTTTAATGTGTGTTAAATTTGTTAATTGTCTGAAATAAATTCATTCAATGATTCAATCCAGTTTTTTAGTTATACTTTACCTAAGTGTCCTTACAGATGGTTAAAAGTGTTTTTGCACAGTCCTAACTTTGAGTGTGTACTAAATTATTTAAAATAATAAAAAAGAAAAGGTACTGAAACCTATTCTGGTATTTCTCTATGCATCACTCCATGCTAAGTTAGTTGCTAAGTTACAGTTTTTTCTGAATGCTTAAACACAACCTTGATTCTTATAGCACAATTTCTAAAACTATTAATACTTATAGCAAATCCACTCACTGAGTTCACAAAACTAAAAGAACAAACACTGCTTTGCACTCAATTTGCAATTTTGTAACACACACTTTGCACAACTGTAGGCACAAGTCACCGCACAGCACTCTTTGTGGAACTGTAAACACAACTCAATGAAGCACTAAACAGATGCTGAAAACAGTACTGGTATTCCGCACGGCAAAAGTGAGGGGGGGGGGGGGGGGGGGGGGGGGGGGGGGGGCGCAAAACTCAATCTCGCCTAGGTCAACCAAAGGGCTAGAACCGGCCCTGCCCCAAATAAACAAAACAAAATTACAGTTTTGAGATTTTCCCTAACAAAAACTATAATATATGGTCAGCAGGCTTTCAGCAAGCAATGCATACGGGTGTACATTGTATGCCCTTTACTAAAAAAATGACAAATTGTTTGCCCTGTTTTTGATATGTACAGTTTTGGCACGCCCTAAATTCCCCCCGGAAGCTTGGCTCAAATGTTCAAAATTTTACAAGAAGATGGAGTGGGAAAATGCAGCATTACACTTTCTGATTGTTTGAATTAAACAATGAAGCATAATAATGTAAGGAGTAGTTTTGTATTCAAAGACAAAATTTAGCTGCATTCAACCTCAAAATTTAGAAAATAGTCTAAATTTCAACATTTTCCAGGGCCCCCGGAACCCCCTACACAGCGCAAAGCCTAAAGATGCGATACATCAAGGTGTACGCACTATGAAATATTCCTAGCTAAAAACCTCATGGTCAGTGACAGTAAAGTTCACTTTTAAAATCTCAAACTAAGTTTCCTGCTTTGCCACAACAAGAATTATCTTGTGACATGATGGGTCCAATATATTTGACCCACATGCAGAAGTACTCACAGAGACCGAGAAAGATTTAACAGTTTATTGAAGATTTATTGTACAGAGATAGGAAAAACAGTTCCTCAGCTTAAGGGAGGTTCCTGCAGTCTGGTGAAGCAGAAGTGGAAGCTCTAGGAGGCAAAGAGAGTGGTGAGTTCAAGGACTGTGGGAAAACTGGGCGAATGTCTGAATACAAGGCAACTTGGACTCACAGCGGTTGTTGGGGAGGGTTTCTGAGATCCCGTTTGTGGAGGCTTGGTCAGTAGAAGGTTAGTTCGTTGGAGGGCGGACACGCAGACTAAGGAGATCCTGAGGAGCAGTTGAGCAGACTGACACTTGGTTCCTGAAGTGCTCGGTGTTCAGATGAGGAGATCCGTCTCCTTTTCTCAGTGTGACGAGTGTTTCCCTTTCAAGACTTGAAGGGCCAGCGTATCCAGTGGATCTGAAAATTCCTGACAGAAAATCAAAGAGAAAACTCAGTTATTGCTGAAAGAGCTCAGAAGAAGTTCGGACTCAAAGTGAATCAGCAAACTCAGAGGGGCTAGAGTACCCAATACTGGCAAACACTCTGGCATGGAAGTGAAGACAGTCTGCTCCTTAAATACTCCTCAGGAAGTGATGACCCAATAGGCTGCAGGTTTGAGGTGAGAAGAACTGGAAGCCCTCCAGACCAGCAGAGGACAAAGGCACCATCTAGTGGGTGCAAGGTGGAACTGCAAAAGAAACAAAATACGCCCCACAAACTGGAATCCTAATATCTTGTGTGAAATGGTTTCAAATTTCCTTTCATAAAAAAAACTAAAAATTGGTCAACACTGTTCGCTTGTTGAAGTTCATTTACTCAAGAGCTCTGCCCGTTCTCTTCTTGAATTTTCGGCGAAGGGTATGAAGGTGAAAACTGTAGGATAGAGATAATAAATGGTAAATTGGTAAATGCACTTAGATGAATAAACCAGCAATCTTTGAGATAGGCACTTGATGACATTGCTCTAAAGAATTATAAAATTAAAAATTTGTGCTTAAATCCAGTTTTCTGATCTAAAGTTATGATTTGAAATTTCCCTTTCCGTAATTTTTGAAACAACTGAAATGGTCCATCACACTATAGAAGATCCCATCCAACAAACTGATCTTTTGTTTTGTTTTTATCAGGCATCTTTTAATCAAAGAACCACTTTCTACTCCTGCTTGTGTTTTAGATTTACTGTAACTAGTTGTATGGCTAGATTGACACATGATGATCTTTATGCTTGCTAAATAAATATTACCATTAACAAATGAAATCTACTAAACCATATCAGGATAGATTAAGTTTCTCTTCTAACTAGTTCCAGAGCATCCTCTCTCTACCTCTCAAAAATACAGTGACCCCTGATGAGCATTGCTATGAACCTGAAAAAGTTAATGGTAACTGTTGGTTATTAGAATGATGATGCAAGTTTCCTGCTTAAAACAGTTCAGCCTTTCAATCTTAAACTTATTGGAATTGTATTCTAAACAATTAGAATAATTTGTGGTGTTGCGTAATAAGCGTTGTAGTCTAAGTTGAGAAATGCAAATGTTCTTTTTTAACGATTGCACAACTGCCGTTTTTTTATGACTGTTATGAAATTCTTGTGTTTTTGGTTGGAGAAAAGTTGACAAATCAACTAAATCTCACTTGCAGTAGTAAAATTGTCCCCCCTTTTGCTGTTGCTCCCAGCTCTTTGGCCCTCTGCCTAATCACGGTGTGATTATTGTGTGTACTTGAATGTGTGTATCTAGGAAAGTGAAAGAGAGACTGTGTCCTGGCTCACTGAATGATTGAGAGTAGCAATTAGAGACTTAATTAGTGGCCATCACAAACACACAAATACACACCGATATGCAAACGCCTTTGCATGCTTTTGACACATTTGTGCAACACTGCACACAAAGACACACAATAGGCAAGAAAGTACTGTACACAATTTCCCCACACATGTTTGCCAGATACCTTAATATGATTCTGTCCACGATTTAAGTGTTTAATTGGTTTTTAAATCTCACTATGTAATTATATGACTGTGGCACACGCTGTTGTTTTGTCTGTGCACACATTGCTAGAAGAGCCATGCACACCCATACACACATGCAGTACAGCTGTTCATTAGCATGATAGCTTAGCTGCTGTCTTGGCTCTAATCACTTTATGTTTACACTTCAAATAAGTGAAATGCACCACAACACACACACCGATAAACTGTGAAATATTTTTACTTGTTTCAGTCAAATACAATTTAAGGCAACAAATGTTCCCATGTGCACACATAGGTAAGAAAAAGTACTAATAGGCTGATGTTTGTTCCTGCACTGGTACATGTATACAGTCCTCATTAGTGTCAGACAGGCTGAGTTTTTGTTTCATCACTGATATCTCTGAGATTTATGGACTCTAATCTGAGAAAATAGAGTTGATTCAGGGCTGCTTACAGAAAACTGGCTTTAAATGATGAAATGAATTAAGATTGAATTGGATTCCAACTGTGATTAAAGGAGTAACTATGAGTAAAAATGAGGTTATTAGTCATTTAAAGGAATATGTTCAATATACAAAAATTCAACTTACTATATTGTGTTTCTGCTGGAGCCGTCATCCTTATACCATCAATGCTTTCTGATCTTTTCTAATTTAATTTTGCTTTTGGACCTTAATGGCTGCTTTGCTTACTTTAGTTTTCCTTTCTGGTATTTTTAACAGAATATCATTAACTTAATTGTAAAGATAACAAAAAATGAACAGAATTAAACAGTAATGGGGATTGCACCACCTCGAGTAATAAAAACCACACATTTTTTGTGGGGTTTATTTCTTTTTTACGCACTCTATGGTGGGTGAACATTTAAGTTGTAATAGTTGAAACATGGAATTGTGTTCTGTATTTTCACATTTAGAAAAGAATAGAATAGAATTCAATGTTGTCTTTACACTGACATTACATGTATTTAAAGTGAGCAAAACTGGTTATCTTGCCTAGAAATGGACCCTTTATGGACATAATGAGGATGCAGGACAATGAGTGCTTTAGATAAAACAAACTTAATAATCAGCACATAAGTGAACTATACACAGCGACCCTTTAATGCCCTCATTTAACTTATTAGATTATTTTTATGTACATTTAATATAATGCATATAATATATATATTTCACCAAAATGTCATTACTTGCCAATTAAAACAGCTTAAAACTAGGAATTACTAAAATTAAGAATTATTGTAAAAATTGTAATTTTTTTTGGCATTTATATCAACAGTTTCAACTGCCAAAAATAGATGAAACACCAAAGAGTGTTTTTCTTATGCCTTTCGCAACCACAGCTCCATAAACTCAATCTTCCCGTTGGCAGCCTCCTCAAAGTGGTCCCTCTGTGTGTCTCTTTACGTCCAGATCTCCAATTCAAGGCTGCAGAATTGAACAGGACCCTCTCAAGGAAAGATG